TAAATTTAATTGAAATATATTCTAATTTAAAAAGAAGCATATATTTTTGCCTCAAGAGGATGATTTTGATGTGGGAAGATAAAGTAAACAGGCTCAAATCTTTCTTGCTTCTATCAAATCTATCTTCCTCTTCTTCCCCCAAAAAGCACAGAAACATCCACATACATAAACAACTCAAGAAAGAGCTTGGTAACTCCACTATCAATATTATTAGTATTAAACTATACTTGCAAAAAGTGAAAAACACTCCAATCTGTTGTATTTGGAAGCATTTCCCTCCCTTATTGCTCATCTACAATGATCAGTTGAACAAATAGGGATAAGAAATTAAAACCTCTCAAAGGAAATTTTCCAACCAGTTCTTGGGGGAGGACTTGGAATACTGAAACGTAAGGAACTACTTCTGATCAACCTGAGTGACTTGAGTCACTGAAAATAGATCCAGAAATACAAATGATGAATTATTTCATTCCGATGTGAAATCTAACAAACATTAGATGTGTTGGCTCATACTCGTGTTAGACACTGGGCTACAAGTGCATGTACAATATTGATGTTGGGGTAAAATGACACAATAATAACTTGGATTTGTTACTGCTGGAGTCAAAATCACTTAATGATTTTCCTCCCAACACTGTATTATAAAAAATCTTGAACATATGGAAAAGTTGAAAGAACCATGCAGGGAACACCCACAAACTTAGTACCCAGATCCCAGCTCCTGTCTGTTCATCCTCTGTCCATCTGTCCTCTTCTAGGAGCTTGGCTACCTGCAGTTTCTGTGTCTTTGGTCTCTCTCCAGAGCCTCCATGTAGCTGTTATTTTACATGTTGTTGAAAGGGGATCATTCCTCAAGGCAGGGCTGGGCTTGTAGGAACCACCTCATTTCTCTAAGCACAGTCCTTCCTTGGGTGGTTTTGTTTCTTGGAGACTGTTCTCAGAAGTTAAGCTTTTTGCATCACTGTGAAGAAATGGACTTATCCCCTCTTCTCTGCAGCTCCCACCAACACAGGAGGACATGGCTGGGGTGGTCCCGCTCGGACACCTCCCTTCCCTCCCTCTTCTCTTTCCAGGTGGCCACTGAGGTTGGCTCCCCTCTGTAGAGAGGGCATCTAAATGTCTCCATGCCTGGGGGGTGTCCTCCGCCTGCCTGCAGCAGCATCCCTCTGGGGAGGCAGGAAGAAGGCTGGTACTGGATCATCTCCTGTCTTCCATGTTGACTTGACCCACAGGATAAACTGTCTCCTCGCCATGCCAAAAGGAGGAAGGGATGGGCACTTTAGTGTTATCCTTCTCTGAGTCCTGCTATATACCACAAGGCCCTCATTTCAGCTGGGCACAGGGCCACTGACCAAGCAGAAGTCGGAGCTGGGGTGGGTGGGGACCCACCTGTGGGACCAGTGATTCTCAGGAAGCTCCCGTCACATTCACTGGAGAAATCCACCCCACTGCATCCCTTTACCCTCCTCTACCCCAGACCCCCACCCTTTCTCACACCCCCGTCCACTTTCCAAGGTGGAAAGAAAGCATCTCATGTGTCTGCAGCAGGGAGGGTGGGATCGGCCCTCAGTGCAATTGAGGCCCAAGGAGGCCAGCTGACTCCTGACCAGTGGGCTGGGCTGGACCTGGGGGTGGCGGGGTCGGTTCTGCCATTCAGAGGACGCCACAGAGGGGTCTGGTCCTGACTCTTGCTGTCTCTTTAGAATGTCGTGAACTGACTGCTTCTTTTCTCTCAGTGAAGGGCTCTACTCACCACTTTCTGGGCAAGTAGAAACCTCCCGGACCACAGGCTTTTCCTGAAAAGATGGAAAATGAATCCGATTCGGTTGTCTTGACTGACAACTCTGAAAATGCAACTCACTGCAAACTTGTATCTGGCATTTTCAGGAATCTGAAGGACAAAGATAATTCAAGACAAAATTAATCCTTGCTTAGAAGCAGTCATGATGCGTTTATATTATAAAAAGTACTGAGAACTTGAAGTGGGTTGGGCTCCCCTTGATGCCCAAGGTGAGAATGTAGAATAGAATGTCAGTTCAGTTCAGTCGCTTAGTCGTGTCTGACTCTTTGTGACCCCATGAATGGCAGCACACCAGGCCTCCCTGTCCATCACCAACTCCCGGAGTTTACTCAAACTCATGCCCATCGACTCGGTGATGTCATCCAGCCATCTCATCTTCTGTCGTCCCCTTCTCCTGCCCCCAATCCCTCTCAGCATCAGGGTCTTTTCCAATGAGTCAACTCTTGACATGAAGTGGCCAAAGTATTGCAGTTTCAACTTCAGCATCAGTCCTTCCATTGAACACCCAGGACTGATCTCCTTTAGGGTGGACTGGTTGGATCTCCTTGCAGTCCAAGGGACTCTCAAGAGTCTTCTCCAACACCACAGTTTAAAAGCATCAATTTTTCGGCATTCAGCTTTCTTCACAGTCCAACTCTCACATCCATACATGACCACTGGAAAAACAATAGCCTTGACTAGACGGACCTTTGTTGGCAAAGTAATGTCTCTGCTTTTTAATATGCTGTGTAGGTTGGTCATAACTTTCCTTCCAAGGAGTAAGTGTCTTTTAATTTCATGGCTGCAATCACCATCTGCAGTGATTTTGAAGCCCAAAAAATAAAGTCTGTCACTGTTTCCACTGTCTCCCCGTCTATTTCCCATGAAGTGGGACCAGATGCCATGATCTTAGTTTTCTGAATGTTGAGCTTTAAGCCAACTTTTTCACTCTCCTCTTTCACTTTCATCAAGAGTAGAATGGAGACTGTAGGAAATTAATTCTCATTCTGACCTTCCTTTTAATCAAGTGACTTTGATCTCACCATCACCTTCTTCATTTAGGCTTTCATTGAGCTGGGAGCTGCCACCTTGTGGCCATAAGGCATTACTGCACTTCTAAGAACACAGGAACACACATCTTTGGGATCGTGCCTACACAGAACAGAGAAGCGTTCTCTTGGAGCTCTGACTCACCTAAGACGTGTGGCAGGTTAAGCCCAGAGTCACCAGCCGACTGAGCTACACAGCCTGAGAAGGACTGTCTTGTGGAAACTGGCTTCTTGTTCAGTTTTAAATGTTTGAGAGTGTTGAAAATTTGGTTATTTTAATATATTAAAATACCATAACTTAAAGCAAATATAAAAGTGGAACCCTTTGCTCACATTCCCTGGCCCCTCTCTGGATCTCTGCAGGCCAACATACTGTTTATTTTTTCTTTTTAATTTTTATTTATCTTTTAATTGGAGGAAAATTGCTTTACAAGGTTGTGTTGGTGTCTGCCTTTTTAAACTTTTTTTAATTGGAGGGAAATTGCTTTACACACTGTCTTTCTTGATCAACATTATCAGCCCCAGTATTAGGGATGTACAACATGCATCTCTCACAAACATTCTACATGGCTTAGCTTATTTACCTGACATATAAGTTCTGAATTCACGACTCTAACAAGTTTTTCAATAGATTTCAGTTCAGTTCAGTTGCTCAGTCGTGTACAACTCTTTGAGACCCCATGAATCGCAGCACACGAGGCCTCCTTGTCCATCACCAACTCCTGGAGTTTACCCAAACTCACGTCCATTGAGTCGGTGATGCCATCCAACCATGTCATCCTCTGTCGTCCCCTTCTCCTCCTGCCCTCAATCTTTCCCAGCATCAGGGTATTTTCAAATGAGTCAGCCCTTCACATCAGATGGCCAATAGATTTACATGGAATAAAAATATTCATGTTGAAAATAAATGCAAGGTTTATTTATTCAAAGTTGTAAATTTGATAATTATTATTCTGCTTCTTTTTTAAAAAATTATTTCTTTATTTTAATTGGAGGATGGATAATTACAATATTGTGATGGGTTTTGCTATACATCAATATGAATCGGCCATAGGTATACACTTGTCCTGAACACTCCTCCCAACCTCCTCCCCACCCTATGTACAGGAAATATAGAAAGGTTTTAAAATTACATTAGTTACTCTTTTTAGTAACAAACAACTTGGATTCAGATTATAAACAATTCAAATTAAAAAGTGCAGCAACCTGTCACAGAGCCATGAAAGTACATTAAGACAAGATAAAGATTATCTTTTATTTCACCTCTTGAAGAACTATTTAGTATTTTCAACAAGGTGATGTGATCACAGGTAATACGTTAAGGTAATGAGGACTAATGAGTGTCAGATCTTGTTTTCCACTTGGTCATTGCAGCCTGAAGTATTGGTATGTTAAAACCTCAACTTGTCTTTTTTTCAGAATCCTAATGTAAAGACGCCAGGTTGGTACAGAGACCCTCCCACGGGGAGCCTCTTTCCCATCCCTCCTCCCTCTTTCTTTCATCTCAGAACCAAAAAGGCAGGTTCATCTAAGTGTAAAGGAGATTTTGGTGAAGTCTATAAACCCGAGAGCCTCAGGACATGATTGGGATAAAGATGGTTAATGCTTTGGAAAGTAAAATTATACTGTTTCCTTTTTCTTCCTCCCTTAATAAAGTTATCCTTTTTCGAAGTCCTTTTCCAGTTATTTGATTTCAAGCAATAGAGCCTATAAGGAAATGAGCATTAAAATACTCTGCTACAAGGAAGAGGTCAGTAGGCATTCCACTGATTTTGGAAACTAAAACAAAGAAACCAAATCCCTACTTCCCCATAGACACTGGCTTCACCCTCTTCTGACTGAGCCCTGGTCTCCTGGGGTCAGATTCCCAGCCAGAAATCTGCTGTGCATGTCGCTGGGGCAGTTTTATTTCTCCCCACTCCCTTCCTGAGAATTCTGCCTGTGGTTAATGAGGCCAAAGGCTAAGGCTCAGCCCCCGCCCGCCCCCCCACCCCCACCCCTGATAAATACAAGAACTCTCGGGAGCAGGGAGGGAAGAGTTGAGACAGTGTCTGTGACAAGGTGCCCAGAGGGTGATTGGAGAAGAGAGCCTGCTGGGAAGGACGGGCTGCGGCTGAGCCCACGGCGGGGAGGACTCGCCACCGCCCGCAGGCTGTGGGTGCGCAGGCGGCATGTGCTCCAGGGTTCACCCCGCGCTGCCGCTGCTTCTCGCGCTGCTGATGCCGGTGAGCAGGGACTGGTACCCAGAACGTGGGATTTACCTGCCAGGGGCCGGGAGCTGACCGCACAGCTCCAGCCGGCTCTGCCTGTTCGAGGATGGGGGACGGGGCTGAGTGTGACGGCCTGCAGCTGGGGGCTAGGGGTGGAAGCTTTAGTACGGGGAAAGAAGAGGGGTTCCAGAATTGACACCAAGGAGGGGTTTGGCAGAGTAGTGGGAACAGGCTAAGACTGGTTTATATAGGTTTATAGGTTTATATATGTTTAGATTTGTATCAACGCGTTTCCTAAGGACATTTTTTTTCACTTTACGTAAGACTGAAAAAATCTCAACTGTGTATGTGGAAGAGGGTTTGAGCAAACCCATGGGGGTGGGATGGCTAAATCCTCCTGCCTCCCCACCCCCTGCCCCCCACAAGTTGCCATGGCTGAACCCGGAAACAAACAGTAGAATCAAGATGGACACATCTGGGCCTGTTGCTTGTACTTACCGTGGAAAGAGTTTAGGCTGCATCTGCCTGTGGGGCGCAGCCGCTTAGCCCGCTTTCCTCAGACAGAGAGGGAGAGCCATGGGGTTCTGGCACTGCTCCTGGGTTCTCCCTTATAAACCCAGCCAGGGCAGAAGCAGGAGGCCCTGCAGTGGATGGGGGTCCAGACAGTGGGTCTACCCTGCATTGTAACCCAGCTGGGCACCGTGGCTGTCGCTTGGCCTCGGTCCTCACCTCGGTTCAAAGTGGACTTTTCTCAGATGCTTCGAGAGTCCCAGTGCCCAGAGGCCACTCGCCCCTAGATTCAGCAGAGCTGATCTGGGGATGCGGCCTGGGCATCCGGGTTTTCAAGGCTCTACCTTCATCTTGTTAAGCCTTGTTGCCTCCGCCTGAAAATGGAGCTTCTGCAGGCACTTATCTGACCTGGTGGTTGTGGGAGTCAATGAGGAAATGCAGAGGGTCTTTTCTTGCTGTCTTCCACGCCCTGGCAGGATGGTTATTCTCTTCACTCAGCGCCTGGGCTGCTACTGTTGCTGGGACACTCGCCCTGGGCGCTTTCACAAGCAGAAGAGGAAACAAAAGTCCCTAGTCGTCTGGCCAATTCTGCTTCTGAAATTCGATGCCTTGTTCGCCACCCTTTGCTTAATGTTCAGAAAATTTTCTTGGCTACTTAAAAAGAAGTTTTAATTGGAGTATGGTTGCTTTACAATGTTGTTACTTTCTGCGGTAAGACAAAGAAAAACAGCTAAATGTATATATTTTGGGGGCATTTCATTCCTGTTCAGGTCACCACTGAGCACCAAGTGGAGTCCTCTGTGCTACATAGGTTCTCATTAGCTATCTATTTTATACATAGTAATGTACATATGTCAACCCCAGTCTCCCAATTCGTCCCCCTTCCACACTTCTCACCATGGTGTCCATACATTTATTCTCTATGTCTCTGTCTCAATCTCTGCTTTGCAAATAGGTTCATCTGTACCATTTTTCTAGATTCCACATAGATGCATGATGTACGACACTTGTTTTTCTCCTTCTGACTTCACTCCTAGTAGAGTTCTGTTTCAGTAGCCGACATTAGCCTGGATTTGAATACGTCACCTTGTTCCCATCTTTTTCTTACTCCTGCTCTAACCCCTAACTGGACTCATTAGAAAACAGAGTTTTTTCTTCTTTCTGCATGTTAGCACAGAGCCCAGGCAGGTTCATTCCTGACTGAGGGTGTGGTGGGTGGGGTGGGAAGTGGGCAGCAGGACTGAACTGTGTTTGGTGGACAAAATTATATTTAGCTTCCAGGGATCAAGGCTGAGGGAGATAATGGGATACACCAGTGTCCCATGGTTTTGAGCAATCTGCACTCTGGACCCTCAACTGGAGAAGACCTTTGTGTCCAGGAGGTGCCCAGTTTTTTGCTGAACTGGCTATAAGTAATCTATTCCTTTCGGCCCCTACTTTCCCCCACCCACACTGACTTCTAACCATTGCTGTTATGCAAATAAGGCACCCACTCCCCCTCCCCTGACCTCCAGATTTAAAACCAATTCTGCTGAAGAGCTGCAATGTCTACAAGTGTTCTCCCTAAATCTCCACCCTCAAGTTATCATCCTGATATGAAGCAAAGAACTAAGTAGCAACTCTGCTGTGGATCTTTGTTCCAAATCCCACAACAAGCCGCAGAAGCGGGGTCCTATCCCCCTCTTTGCCATTTCCAGACCTGAGAGCTTGTACATCCTCAGCTTTGGGCTGGGGCAACTTCTAGGACCTGAGAGGAGGGAGGGTTTGAGAATGAAGTTAGTGAACAAAGTCTGTTATGGTTGGTGGGTTGTTGTTACTTTTTAATCTGGGGAATTCCGAGTCAAATTATCGTTAAAAAGTATGTTAGCATGTATGCTCTGCCCGATTAATTCACTCAAACCCCTCATTCAAGAACAAGAGTCCGTAGGACATGAAGAATCGTGTGGTCAGAGGGGATGCTGAGCCCTTAGCAGAGACTGAGTGGCCAGGCTCTGTCCTAAGAATCCTGGGAACCCTGTTTTCTGCTGCCCCGTGCTGAATCTGCACTTGTAAAGGATCACCAATCTTCTGTAGGCAGAGACTGTGTTTGGACTGCATACTCGTCTCCATTACAAAGGAAGCTCGTGGCTTAAAGTAACTGAAATGTACAGCATGGCGGCTCCAGTTAATAAGACCACATGCATATATGAAATTCATTAACAGAGTAGATGGTAAAAGTTCTCATCACAAGAAAAAATATGTTACTATAAATAGTGACAGATATTAAGTCAACTTATTGTGATGTGCCACAGATGGTAAAGAATCTGCCTGCAACGCAGGAGACCTGGGTTTGATCCCTGGGTGGGGAAGATCCCCTGGAGAAGGGAATGGCCACCCACTCCAGTATTCTTGCCTGGAGAATCCCACAGACAGAGGAGCCTGGCAGGATACAGTCCATGGGGTCTCAAAGAGTCAGACATGACTAATGCTTTCACTACTTTTCAATGTGGTGATCATTTCAAAATACATACAAATTTTGATTGAATCATTGTACTGTTCTCATGAAAGGAATATAACGGTGTATATCAATTATACCTTAATAAAAAGGTTGTTCTTGAATTCAAATTTGCTATCAAAAGTGAAATATTTGGAGGAAACAATTGTTTCTGTATTGGCTTCTTAGTTCTTTAGGACTTTCTATAAACACAAAGCCTTTATTTACTCAGATAACTTCTTCCCTGAGGTGGCTATGGCTACTCAGCCAGGCCAGCACAATGCCAGTGACATTCCCTCAAATCCAGCGGCACCTTTCAAGTGATAGGCAGGTTGGATCTTGCAGTGACTGCCCGCCTGCCACACTCCCATGAAATAGTCAGGTGGACACTGCAGTCGGAGAACCGCTTTGAGAACATTTTTCTCCCCCACTGAATTATAGGAAGCATTATGTAAATCAGTTGAATGGCATCCTCTTTGGACAAACAGCCTAAAATTGTCAAGGATGGGAAATATAATAAGCATACTTACAAGATCATTCTGGCAAATGTAACCATTTTCCAGTCTTTCTGCCTCACCCAGACAAGATGGTGCAAGTTAATTCTAAGCTGTGCACCAGAGGAGAAGTAATACATGTGTACATATAGGATGTGAAATTTCAGGCTCAGAGGTTAAAGCGTCTGCCTGCAGTGCAGGAGACCCGGGTTCGATCCTTGAGTCGGGAAGATCCCCTGGAGAAGGAAATGGCAACCCACTCCAGTATTCTTGCCTGAAGAATCCCATGGAGGGAGGAGCCTGGTAGGCTACACTCCATGGGGTGGCAAAGAGGCAGACACAACTGAGCAACTTCACTTTCACTTTCACTGGGTGAAGAAATACACTATCTTAGGCCTCTTTTCCCACTCCCCAGCCACTCCTACGTGACTGTCGGCTGTGCCTTTATGTGTCATCCTAGGAAAATGAACCTAGAGCTTTCTGGTTGAAAGGGCCTTAAAGGTACCTTGCCTCACACCCTTGCTCACAGAAGGGGAAACTGAGGCCAGAGAGGAGACAAAACCTTAAGGTATTCTTGGTTCATGACCTGGGTCACCTGGAAATACACCTGTTTTAGAAATGGGATGAATTTTTTCATGCTGCCCCAAGACTGCAATTTTCTCCATGTTAAAACTACACACCTAGTTGTGTTAGTTGCTCAGTCATGTCTGACTCTTTGCAATCCCATGGATTGTAGCCCACCAGGCTCCTCTGTCCACAGACAGAGGCAAGAATACTGGAATGGGTAGCCATTCCCTTCTCCAGGGGATCTTCCCGACACAGGGATTGAGCCCAGGTCTCCTGCACTGCAGACAGATTATTTACCACCTGAGACACCAGGGAAGCCTCACGCACCTGGTTAGGCCCTGTATTTAAAATTAGCAACGTTAATCAAGAAGCAGATGTCTGAATAAATCAATATTGGATATTTTGGAATGGAAGGAGTTAAAAAAAACCTTTGCCTTTAGGAAAAAAGACAGAAATAGTGCCTGTGGCAGGAAACAAATATTACGGTTACATTTGACGTTAACAAAACCAAATGACGTAACATCCCCCAGCCACCAGGATGGTGGTCGACCACAAGAAGTGAAGATCTGAAGGATATCTCTTCATGCTCTATAGTAAGTGTTACTCGTCCAGTCGTGCCCGACTCTTTGTGATGCCATGGACTGCGGCCCACCAGGCTCCTCTGTCCATGAGATTTTCCAGGCAAGAATACTGGAGTGGGTTGCCATTTCCTTCTCCAGAGGATCTTCTCAACCCAGGGATTGAACCCGGGTCTCCTGCACTGCAGGCAGATTCTTTACTGACTGAGCTACAAGAGAAGCCCTATGCTGTTATCTAATACACAGTCCTCTATGCTGTGAAAAGCCCTTGGCTAAGGATAAATCTTTACATGTGGGAGCAGGGGCACAAGCACAATGAAGGATGTTTGGCAGGATCTAGGTGGGCTGGTGATGGCTCACCCTGTCCCCAGGAGATTTTAGGTATAATCCTAGAGTGCTACTGTGCTGTGCTGTGCTAAGTCACTTCAGTTGTGTCCGACTCCTTTTGACCCTATGGGCTGTAGCCTGCCAGCCTCCTCTGTCCGTGGGACTCTCCAGGCAAGAATACTGGAGTGGGTTGCCATGTCCTCCCCCAGGGGATCTTCCTGATCCAGGGATCGAACCTGCATCTTTTATGTCTCCTGCATTGGCAGGCAGGTCCTTTACAACCTGGGAAGCCTCATAAATCCTAGAGAAGCAGTTATCAAGCCTCTTACTCTCAGGATGCCTTTCCACTTGTAAACTTTAGGCAGAACCCAAAGAGTTGTTGTTTATGTGGTTATATTTACTGATGCTTCTCATATTAGAAATTAAGACTGACATTTTTTTTTTTTCCCACACTATACAGCTTGTGGGATTCTAGTTCCCTGACCAGGGATCAAACCCAGGCCTACTGCAGTAGAAGCCCAGAGTCCTAATCGCCAGACCACCAGGGAATTTCCAAGACTGGGAAATTTTAAATGTACTTCTCAATTCATTAAAGATACTGATTAAAATAGACAACTAACAAGGACCTACTGCATAGCACAGGGAAAATATTCAATATCTTACAATAATCTATAGTGGAAGAGAATGTAAAAAAGAATATGTATATGTATGTATGTCTATGTGTGACTAAATCATTTTACTGCACACCTGAAACTGATGCATTGTAAATCAATTATATTTCAAAAAATTTTTAAATAAAAATAAATTTTTAAAAAGGAGTTTGGAACTAGCAGATAGAAGCTACTATATATAAAATATTAACAGATATGGGACTTCCCTGGTGGTCTGGTGGCTAGGACTCCGTGCTCCCAGTGCAGGGGGCCCAGGTTCCATCCCTGGCCAGGGAACTAGATCCCGCATGCCACAACTGAGGCTCCCTCATGCTGAAACTGAGACCTGGCACAGCCAACTAAATAAATGTTTTAAAAAAAAAATTAACAGATAAACAAGGACTTACTGTCTAGCACAGGGAACTATATTCAACATCCTAACAAACCATAATGGAAAAGAATATTAAAAAGAATATGTAGATACATATATAACTGAATCACTTTGTACAGCAGAAACACAAATTTGTAAAGAGATAATGATAAATCCATTACAAACTAATATAAACCAAACATCTATGAAAAATTAATGTATTTTCCACATTTCCATTCAGTGTGAAGAATGGCACAATTTCCTATTTTTGCAAATCTCTTGGCCGTCTGGCTTAAAAGCAGACACCTGGACTCTTTTCTCTGATTCTGAACTCAGTCTATTGTAAATGTTGTTTGCTTCAAGTATGTGAAGCAATTCTTGCCTCACATAGGTATGTATATGGAAAGGGAGGAATATTTTTATAGCCTGGAACTGGGAGTACTTTTTTTGATGTCACGCCAGAATTTGACAAGTAGTCCATTTTTAATAGTCACTTGCCATGTGGAGCCTGAAAGCATATTAATAACTTCCGTTACTCTGTTCGAGTAAAACCATTGGAGTCACTTGAATTTTGAATAACTCTCACCTGTGTGTGATTTTGGACTGTGGTATCTTAATCAGGAGGAAACTCTTTGCTCGCTGAGCTATACAGTTCTTCTACATGTTGACATATTTCATTCTAAAAAATCAAAAAGTCACATTCATTAATCTGTCCACCAATATCAGCAGAAAAATCTTTATGTGTTGGGAAGCTGTCAAGCTCTCAAGTTTTCCAAAGTTCTAATTTTTTGCTTGAAAGCTTAAAATTTATCATTGACAACATGACACTGTCCATTGTTTTTCTCGAAGTGATGGGCTGACTGTTCATTATCAAAGACCTGTCGATGAAGTAACCATTCCTGAACAGCCATGGTTGGTCAGTCATTCTTTTGGGGAAAATGCTGCTTCATAAGAAAAAAAAAAAGTGGTCTGTTTAGCTGTCAACTCTGACAATCACACACGTGCTTTTCTCTGAGACAAACCTACACTGATGGGCAGCACTGGGGTTCATACCTCCATCTAGACACACAGAGTGTCTAAAAGATACACAGGCAGGGGTGGCATGGGGTATAATTAATAATATTTCCTGCCTCATCCATTCTCATTTCAACAACGAGGTGAATTTATCAGTTATATCATTCTCAAATGAGACTGACTGTTTTTTTCTCTTCCTTCATTCCTCCATTTCTCCTTCTCTCCTTCCCTTCCTCCCTCCCTCCCTCCCACCCTCTTTTCTTCTTCCCTGCCTGTTCATGGTGATGAAGCATGCAAGACTATGGTCTCCAATGGTCCTAAGGCACCAGCATTTTTATCACCAATATTTGCTACCATCAGTGCAAATGTCATACAGAGTAATAGACAAGTATTGTCTTAGATTATTATTTTAAACATGTTTGGCCTTGTGGAGTCTCTGATAAAGTCAGGGACCCCGGTGAAACAAACTGAAAACTGTGCTCCAGAGAAATTTTCTATTTGTATATTCTATAACCACAGCATCACCGTGTGTGTGTGATAACAAACAACTGGAAGTAACCTAAATGGCCATCACTAGGAGAATGACAAACTGTCCTCTATTCATACACTTAAAAGTTATATGAGAGTGAAAATGAATGAGGTAGAAATATGAGTGTCAGTGCACACGCACACATACATGCACACATATACACAAACATACAGGCATACGTGTTTTATGTTGGTTTGACATGCATTGCATAGCTTGTCTCTTTCAAATTCAACACTCCTACTGTTCATGTGTGGAGATTTTTCCTGAGGGGGAATGTTGTTGAAAAAATGATAAATAATTATCAAGGCTTCCCAGATGGGAAGGAAACGGCCTGCCAACATAGGAGACATAAGAGACAGGGGTTGATCCCTGGGTTGGGAAGATCCCCTGGAGGAGGGCATGGCAACTCCCTCCAGTATTCTTGCCCGGAGAATCCCACGGACAGAGGAACCCGGTGGACTACATTCTATAGGGTCACAAAGAGTTGGACACACCTAATGCAACTTAGCATAGCATATCATAACTATTGATGCAAATCATTATGTAACTGTAAAGTACCAAATTCCTTAGTTTTATTATTTTATGATAAAGTCTAAAAATAAGGGATAAGTCTACAAATAAGGGAAAAATAAAAAACCTAAAAAAAAAGTCCACTTGAATCCACCACCAATTAACATTTGGTGCTATTTTACATGTGCACGTATAAATACACCTGGCTTGCCCTGAACAGTTTGACTTCCCACTTATTATGTTATGCTCACATAAACATAGCAGGTAGGGCTTTAAATGTCCCTACCATTGGTAACACTAGATCAGAATTTTCTGCTTACTTCTCTTACAGTCACAGAAGGGAAATGGCAATTTTGAACTGAGATGTCAAGAGCAAGAAATTAGTTATCAAAACCGAATGCAGTTCCTTTTTTTCCTCTGCTCTAATTCTAGAAGATTTGTGTGACTTTGGGCAGGGTCTACCTGGTTCTGCTATGTACACTCCCTACTAATTAATGTCATTTTTATTTTTAAGGTCAGCACTGTCAACAGCACCCGACAAGAAAATGATGATCTTACTAATCAAACAAAGGTGGGGTTTGGAATTTGGTTGTTCGATAAACCAAGTGAAATTACACTTTACTTAGAGGCTGCCTTGCAATTTTGAGTTTTTTAGTGTCCTGTCAATATTCTGTTGCCACAAAATAAATTAGTAACTAGATGTGGCCTTTTAGAATCTTGAAGGACCCTGGAGACTTGCAGAGGATGCTTTTATGTCTAATTAAAAGAGGAGCAATCTGTGGAAGTCAGAAGTTGAGTATTCGGTCCTGGCCCAGAGGTTTGCCCACACTCTTTTCCACTTTAGGGAGCTAGAGGGAGCAGACGCTGTCTTCCGGGGTGTGGGTGCAGGCCACCACCGCTTCGAGGTTTCGCCACATCCTCATCCACCTTTTGATGATTTCCTTCCTGTAGTTCCTGTGATCAACTCACTGTCTAATTCAGTAATTTTTCAGGAGTGCATCTTCCGAATGAAAAGGAATGCGGCTAGATACCACCTATACTTATATTGGGTCGGTCAAAAAGTTCATTCAGGTTTTTCCATTAATATCTTATGGGCCTGAGCGAACTTTTTGGCCAACCAAAATAATAACTATACCCTAACAGTAAAACTGGAAAAAGTCAGTTTTCATTCCAGTCCTAAAGAAGGGCAATGCCAAAGAGTGTTCAAACTACTGCACAATTGCACTCATTTCACATGCTGGCAAAGTAATGCTCAAAATCCTCCAAGCCAGACTTCAACAGTACGTGAACCGAGACTTTCCAGATGTTCAAGCTGGATTTAGAAAAGGCAGAGGAACCGGAGATCAAATTGTCAACATCTGTTGGATCATACAAAAAGCAAGATAATTCCAGAAAGACATCTAATTCTGCTTCATCTAATTCTTCATCACGATTACATGAAAGCCTTTGACTGTGTGGATCACAACAAACTGTGGAAAATTCTGAAAGAGATGGGAATACCAGACCACCTGACCTGCCTCCTGAAAAACCTGTATGGAGGTCAAGAAGCAACAGTTAGAACCGGACATGGAACAACAGATTGGTTCCAAATTGGGAAAGGAGTACGTCAAGGCTGTATATTGTCACCATGCTTATTTAACTTATATGCAGAGTACAGCATGCGAAATGCCAGGCTGGATGAAGCACAAGCTGAAATCAAGATTGCTGGGAGAAATATCAATAATCTAAGATATGCAGATGACACTACCCTTACGGCAGAAAGTGAAGAGGAACTAAAGAGCCTTTTGATGAGAGTGAAAGAGGAGAATGAAAAAGCTGGCTTAAAACTCAACATTCAAAAAATGAAGATCATGGCATCCGGTCACATCACTTCATGGCAAATAGATGGGGAAACAATAGAAACAGTGACAGACTTTATTTTCTTGGGTTCCAAAATCACTGCAGACAGTGACTGCAACCATGAAATTAAAAAACGCTTGCTCTTTAGAAGAAAATCTATGACAAACCTAGACAGCTTATTAAAAAGCAGAGATATTACTTTACTGACAAAGGTCTGTATAGTCAAAACTATGGTTTTGCCAGTAGTCATGTTATGGATGTGAAAGCTGTACCATAAAGAAGGCTGCACATTGAGGAATTAATGCTTTTGAACTGTGGTGCTGGAGAAGACTCTTGAGAGTCCCTTGGACTGCAAGGAGATCAAACCACTCAATCCTAAAGGAAATCAATCCTGAATATTCATTAGAAGGACTGATGCTGAAGCTGCAGCTCCAATAATTAGGCCACCTGATGCAAAGAGCTGACTCATTGGAAAAGACCCTGATTCTGGGAAAGATGGAAGGCAGGAGGAGAAGGGGACAACAGAGGATGAGGTGGTTGGATGGTATTGCTGACTCAATGGACACGAGTTTGGGCAGGTTCTGAGAGATGGTGGGGGACAGAGAAGCCTGGTGTGCTGCAGTCCATGGGGTCACGAGGCATCGGACACAATTCAGCAACTGAAGAACAGTAAAATAAATGTAAAACACGTAAAACCCCATTGTTCAATTCTATCTATATTCCTTTGCCCAACAAATCTCTGACCCTCATGTTTGAGTCTAAGTCTCAGTCTCTGTCATGAGGGAGATGTGTAGACAGAGAGGCATTGAAGACCCCACAGCACTGAGTGGAGGCTTTCTCAACCAAGGATTTCAAAAACATGGAGAAAAGAATGTGTGTTGGTCACTCAGTCAGGTCCGCCTCTTGAGACCCCATGACCTGTTGCCTGCCGCGCTCTTCTGTCCATGGGATTCTCCAGGCAAGAATACTGGAGTGGGTTGCCATTCCCTTCTCCAGGGGATCTTCTCCACCCAGGGATCAAAGCCAGGTCTCCTGCATTGCAGATTCTTTACTGTCTGAGCCACAAGGGAAACCCAGAGAGAGGAATAGAGAGGGGGTAATTTTCTTATTGATCCCACAACTCTGTGCATGTCGACTTTAGGTGTCAGCACACACTAGACAATGATCTTTATTAGCATTTTCTCCATAGCCCCTGAAACATCATAGGAGCCACATATGAATGTGAAATCCCTGGGGCGTCACGTGGCCCACAGTTTAGTACCAACTCTGTAGTTGTAAAGAGAATGGGCACTTGGGATTTTTAGTTATTGGAGGCTGTTGTGAGGATGAGAAAGGGAAGGTATGTCAATCACTGTGCCCCCCCAGTCCCTCACCAACATCCTCCCCCTCATCGCAGTCTCTGTGTTTCCTAGGGAGACAGCCGGCTTCTACAGCGACCCAAAAGAAGTTGGGTTATTACCACCTTGGAGCTGGAGGAGGAAGACCCGGGACCCTTCCCCAAATTTGTGGGTGAGGTAAGGCTGCTGCTGTCGGGAAAGGCCCATCACCCTCTTCAATTCAGCACATCCCTGTTGGCAGGAGGCTAAGACGCCAGGCAGAGAAGTGGTAGGAGGCATGGGTGTCATATGAGGGGAGGACCCCTATAAGATTCTTTCAATAGGGATGGACACTTATGCTGTTTCCAATTCTTCACTATTACGAACCAAACTGCTGCTGTATTCCTTGTTCCTGCATCTTTCCCTACCTGTTTATTTCTTTAGGATAAATTCTCTAAACTATAATTTAAAACTGCCTTTAAATATTAGCCTAGATATTTGATAGATATAATAGTTTACTCTCACCCTGTTTATTTCCCCCCTCCTTTTTTTTCCCTTCCAGCTGTTCAATAATATGTCCGCTAACATGGAAATAATATATTTAATCAGAGGACCTGGTGTGGATGAATATCCAGAGATTGGTTTGTTTTCTATAGAGGATAATGTGAATGGGAAAATATATGTTCACCGCTCTGTTGATCGAGAGAAAACACCATCGTTTAAGGTAACTAAAATGCGACGCATTCTAAACTTGGGCTTCTCTGGTGGCTTAGATGGGAAAGAATTTGCCTGCAATGCAAGAGACCCCGGTTTGATCCCTGGGTCAGGAAGATCCTCTGGAGAAGGAAATGGCAACCCACTCCAGTATTTGTCTGGAGAATCCCGTGAACAGAGGAGCCTGGTGGGCTATAGTCCATAGGGTCACAAGGAGTCGAACATGACTGAGTGACTAAGCATGTAAACTAGGATTTACTGCAAAGATTGTGCAGGATCATTGTATTTGGCAAGCATTCTGTAAGCTGGCTGTGTGCCAGGTTCTGGGAGCTTGACATCTTATAAACTGTGACATGCTTTAGAAATGTGCCTGGGACCTAGAGATTAATTTTGTAATCTCTTCGAGTTCTGGACTTTGGCTTTGTCATCATTTCTGTAATCTGTGAATTGCTGCAGGTTCCTCTTCTAACAACTGCTATGCTGATATGATCAGGATATTTGAAAGTGTTTGGCTCTAGAGCTATAGAATGTTTATAAAATGGGCTGATTTAGTTTTTGGTGAGTCACAGATGAATCTACGGAGAGAGGCTGTTAATGGACTCCATGGATTGTGTAGTAACCTGATGAAGGAGGAATTACAGCCCTGACGATGGTCTGTTCCTATGAGGCTAGGTGTTCTTTATGATTTATCACCCCAGGAATATGGTCTGGGCTTCCCAGTTGGTAAAGGATCCGCTTGTGAATGCAGAGGCCTCAGGAGACGTGGGTTTGATCCCTAAATTGGGAAGATCCCCTGGAGGAGTAAATGGCAACCCACTCCAGTATTCTTGCCTGGGAAATCCCATGGACAGAGTAGCCTGGCAGGCTGTCTGTGGGGTCACAAAGAGTTGGACATGACTGAGCACACATACCATGGTCTGCCATGAGGCTGAAATTCAAGTTCAAAACTGCAAAGGAAACTTGAAATAAAAATGCCCCCAACCACGTGGTAGTATCTTGTGCTACCAGCCAAAGCTTATAGGGCTTCTTAGAAGTCTGTAGCCTGTGTTCTGGTTTGAATTCTGCCGGAACCTGGGCTCTGTTCTCGGGCCTACTTGCCCGAGCATTTCCTCCTTCAAGGGGGGAGATGTTTTTAATATTGGCAAGAAGTAATTTGTGAAGCTTTTCTCCACTGACTTAGAACATTTATACACAGGATAAGCTATATACCCTTAACACATTAATGGTCTTGGGCTCTATAATTTTTAAACAGGCAGAAATTCTCTGAAACTTCAAAAGGACATGCAAAGATGACTGTGTAGGTCTTCACTCTCCATATAATTCTTCAAACCCATCCGTAAAATGTGCAGTTTTTTTTTAAAATGTGCAGTTTTTGAATAAAAGAAGGAATATAGAGACTTCCCTGATGGTCTGGTGGTTTAGAATTCACCTACCAATGCAGGAAGCCCAGGTTCAATCCCTGGTCCAGGAAGATCCCACATGCCACAGGGCAACTAGCCCATGTACCACAACCACAGAGCCCCTGCTCTAGAGTATGGGAGCTGGAACTACTGAAGCCTCTGAGCCTAGAACCTGTGCTCTGCAATAAGAGAAGCCTCCACAATGAAGAACCCACATACCACAACTAGAGAAAGCCTGTATGCAGCAGTGAAGACCCAGCTCAGCCAAAAATAAAATAAATAGATAGATAAATAATTAAAATAAAACGGAATAGAAAGTCATAAGGGGGACCCTGGGACAGCACTTCTCTATCTTTACTGAGCAAACAGGTCACCTAGGAATCTGGCTAAAATGCAGGTTCTATTTCAGTAGGTGGAGCAGGCCTGAGCTCCTGCATCTCTCACAAACTCCTAGAAGATGCTGCTGCTGGTCCCCAGGCCTCTGAAGGTTGACTGTGGAGGAGCTAGGATACAACAGTTAACAGGCACAAGCTGTGCAAGGATGGAACAAAACATGTAGTGCTTGGAGCGGTTTTATTTTGGTTATTGTTGCTTGAATGCTTTTAACATCTTTAATAACGTACTAAGGTTGGCATTCGGAATTCCCAGGTGGCTCAGTGGTAAAGAATATGGGGTTAATCCCTGGGTCAAGGAGAAGGGAATGGCAACCCACTCCAGTATTCTTGCTTGGGAAATCCCATGCAGAGAGGAGCCTGGCAGGTTACAGTCCATGGGGTCGCTAAGAGTTGGATATGACTGAGCATCTGAGCACCATGCTGCATTGGGTTAGGTCTTAGTCTAGAAACCAGCATCCTTGTAAGGGGAGGGAGATTTGGATACAGAGAGAAAGACAAGGAAGAGAAGGCCATGGGAAGCTGGAGACGGAAACTGGAGTGATGGGTCTACAAGCCAGGAAACACCAAGGATCCCTGACACCATGGGAAGTAAGAAGAGAGGCCTGGAGTGGGACAGTCTACAGAGCCCCAGGAAGGAACCTACCCTGTAGACACCCTGATTTTGGTGCTGGCCTCCAGAACTGCAGGAGAATACATTTTTTGTCGTAGGCACCCAGCTTGATGCAAAAGTCATAGGGGACTAACCCAGGGGGGTTAGCTACTGGTTAGCAAGATGTGAGACAAGCTGCTGAGGAGTATCAGACCTGAAGGTGGGACAAGCAGAGTGTCATAGGCGCAACTACGCAAACTGAGTGCTCTAGTTTAACCACCGGCTTCTCTAAGAATGCTTACTACTGCGTTTTGACTGTCCTTAAGGACAGGATGTTATTAAAAATTCAGTAAGCCTAATGTATTGGCAAGAAGACAGCTCTAGCAGCACTGCCTTACTCTTGCAGATAGCAAAGGAGACACTCAAGCCGGCTAAAACTTGTGTTCCGAAGGTAACGGGGTGATGGGAGGAGCTAATTTCTGGTTAATCCCATAAAAAACCTACAAGAAAGCAGTAGTGGGGGCTTCCCTGGTGGCTCAGTGGTAAAGAATCTGCCTGCCAATGCAGGAGACCTGGGTTTGATCCCTGGTCTGGGAAGACTCCACATGCCCTAGAGCAACTAAGCCGGTGCACCTCAAATACTCAGTTTGCGCCCTAAAGCTCTGCAACACAGAAGCCACTGCAATGAGAGGCCAGCGTGCACCGAAACCAGAGAGTAGCCCCCACTCACTGAACCTGGACTAAAGCCTGCACAGCAATAAAGACCAAGAACAACCAAAAATAAATAAGTAAATAAAAATTCTAAAAAAGAAAGCAGCAGCACCAGCTGAGAATTGCTGGAAGATTTAAGACCGAGAGAGGGAAAAAGTCTTTTTTGTGTGTAGAGATCTTTTCTATTTCTATCAAAATATGCTCAATTCATAGGGTACAAGTACACTCAAGAAAGTCACCTTTTAACATTCCTCATAATAATTATTTGTGGCTCTTTATCCCAACATAGTTATCTTCACCTCCTTCTAACCTATGCATAGATGTGAGTTTGTATTGTGTGTTTGGCATTTAAGATGTTTCTTTCTATATGCTTGTGTCTAGGATAAAGGATCTTGTACATGTAATTTCATATAGCTATCACATCAATGCCCTGTGGTGTGTTTATCCAAGGATATAAATCTGAAGACTGTAACAAAAGTCTGAAACCCTTTAAAAGTGCAGAGAATATCCATGACATTTCCTTTCCCCATTGTGATTCTGAGCCCCTGGAAATTCTTAGCATCTTGCCAAAAACAAATAGCACTTATGCCTCTCAGGCATCTTTCAGAACTAAAGGTCTCAGACGTAGCTTTAGGATAATAAATGGAACATAAAATAATAAACATAAAACAAACATGTGGCTCTTGTTTTTAAGTGGGAGGATTATAGTTGGCACAGACTCAGAGCCAGAAGTCGGGGTGATTAAGGAGCAGAGCTTTGCCAGCACCGTCATAAATTATGGAGGAGCATGTGGAAACAGTGCTGGAGAAAGCCAGTTAGCTTGCACAGAAATTTAAAAATGTATGTTGGAGTCCCCAAAGCAGACAAGTTCAGGACTAGCAGCCTTGCAGCATCCTTTGTCTCATAGGGGGAGAGGAGAGAGCTGAACAAGAGTGGACATGGGGCCCGGGACAGCATCTTAAGACGCTGAGCGGGACCACCAAGGTGGCTGCTGATCAGGGAGCAGCAAGTCTGCTGGGAAAAAGGCCTGAGGAGGTACAGACAGCGCAGTAGAGCAGGCCATGTGGGCTATGAGGAAAAGTGGAGGGTGGGGCAGATGGCTGCCTGAAGCTCGCAGGGTCCTAAGGCGGCTGTCTGGTGAAGCAATCTGCTCTGGACTCTGGGACCATAGAGGGAAGAGACAAAGTACCAGCTGGTGGCACTGTCAAGTCGACCCCACACCTAACTGCACTTGAATCTGGGCTGCTCTGCCTCCAGGCTCTGAGTCTGACAGCCATGGACCCTCTCAAATAATTCAGAGCAGGTGGACTTCCCTGGTGGCCCAGGGGCTAAGACTCAGTGCTCCCAGGGCAGAGGGCCTGGGCTCAATCCCGGGTCAGGGAACTAGAGCCCACATGCTGCAACTAAGAGTTCATATGCCATAACTAAAGATTTCCCCTGCCACAAGAAGATCCAAGACTTTGTGTGCTGCAACTAAGACTCACTGCAGCCAAATAAATAAATATATTTTTAAAATGTGGCAGAGGAGGAATACGAGGGAGCCTCCCTCTAGGACTTATGAAAGAAGAAAGGAGCTGATTTACGTAAGGGCTCAGCCAGGTCCCGAGCAAGTCCACCCTCCCTGGGCCTCACTGGAGCTTTGGAGCTTCTTCTCTGGCAATAAACCCCATACATACTCATTGTCTCTGAGCAGGGCTCTGCCTCTGATCATCAGAGGCCCCTCGAGAGGAGAAACCAGCATCGCCACCATAAAGGGCCGTCTGCTTGAGAGCTCCTTGGTGCTCCTTCTGACTCTGCAGACTCCCCGAAATCTTTCCAGTCTTCAACAAATAAAATCACTATTTTTCCTAAAGCAATGAGAGATTCAGTAGCAAGTCAGAGTAGACCTATTTAAAATACATATATGAAAAAAAATACTTATATGATTGCCTATGCCTTATTTTGCAGGCAGGGGCCCTTTTTAAAAATTAATAGACTTTATTTCTTAGAACCACTTTAGGGTTACAGAAAAGTAGAAAGTACAGAATTCCTATGGGCTTCCCCAGTGAATCAGTGATTAAGAATCCACCTCCCGGAGATTCGAGTTTGACCCCTGGGTTAGGAAGATCCCCTGGAGCAGGGTATGGCAACCCACTCCAGTATTCTTGCCTGGAGAATGCCATGGACAAAGGACCCTGGTGGGCTATAGTCCATGGGGTTGCAAAGAGTCAGACACGACTGAAGGGACAGAGCACGCCTGCATGCACAGAGTTCCTATACACCCCCTCACTTTCCCACTCATCCCATAGTTTCCTCTGTTATTAATATTTTGCATTACTGTAGGACGTTTGTTACAATCGATGACCCAATGTCATACTTAATCATTAACTGAAGCCCATAGTTTATATGTGGATTCACTCTTTCTCCTGTACATTCTCTGGGTTTTGGCAATGTATAGTGACATGTACCCACCCTTCTGGCATCCTGATTTCACTCTCCTAAAGTTCCCCTGTGCTCCATCTATTCATTCCTTCATCTCCTCAAAGCCCTTGGCAACTGCTGATCCTGTTACTGTCTGCATAGTTTTGCCTTTTCCAGAATATCATAGGGTTGGAATGGTACAGTCTGTCACCTGTTCAAGATTGTCTTCTTTCTCTTGGCAATATGTCCTGAAGCTCCCTCCATGTCTTTTCATTGCTGAAAAATATTCCATAGTGGAATTCTATGGATGTACCACTCTTTGTTTATCTGTTCACCTGCTGAAGGCCATCTTGGTTGCTTCCAAATTTTGATGATTATGAGTAAAACTGAACATCCATGTTTAGGATGTAACATGACTGTTGGATTGTGTGATAAGAGTATGTTTAGTTTTGTAAGAAATTGCCAAACTGTCTTCCAAAGTAGCTACACCATTTGCATTCCCACAAGCAGTGAATGAGACTTTCCTATTGCTTATCTTACTTTTTAGATGTAAAGCTAATAAAGGCTTCTTATGGAATTTAAAACTCCATAAGAATTTATTTACTTATTTATGTTAATGGTATAGTCATTAAAAACCTCTCCTCACGGCCAAATTTCTTCTCTGATCTGATTCCACAGAGGTGACCACCTTGCACCTATGTCCTTGCAAGCATTTGTAGTGTCTATTGTCAATATACATAGGCTAAATATTTGTTAAATTTTATGAAAATTAAGGATTCTCAAAAAAAAAAGAAAATTAAGGATTCTCTTTAAACATTTTGGCCTCATGCAAGAACAGTGATTTTTCTGCATGAACAGTCTCTAAATTGCCCTGACACGACAGGTGCATTTGTGATATTGGAGAACTGCTCACTCTTCAGGGAGCAGGGTCATTGCTGGATCCCTCTGATGTGGTCACTGAGTCACTTTTTGTTTCTTCTGCCCTGAAGATAAATGACTAAGACAGTGGTGCCTCGTCCCTTAAAACTTTGCCTTCGACAGGTGTCACCAATTGCCCTGTTGGTGCTGAGGCAATCTCATTGACCACCCTCCTGAATGAACCATTAGAGAAAGATGCTCTCTGAATGTCCTCAGGAGTGGACTTAAGAATATTGCTTTTGCTTATATGTTTTTGTATTTAACATTTTGTGTGCCCTTACAGCTTCACATGGGGCTTCCCGGGTGGTGCTAGTGGTAAAGAACCTGCTTGCCAATGCAGGAGATGCAAGAGATGTGGGTTTGATCTCTGGTTCAGGAAGATCCCCTAGAGTAGGAAATGGCAACCTACTCCAGTCTTCTTGCCTGGAGAATCCCATGGACAGAGGAGCCTGGTGGGCTTCAGCCCATAGGGTTGCAGAGAGTCAGACTTGACTGAAGGACTTAGTATGCATGCACGCACAACTTCACATAATCATTTGCAAAAAATATGGTAACAACAGGGTGTAATTGGCTTTCAAGGAGACAGAAGGACCCAAGGATTCCCGCTGGCACCTCAGCTTTCATTGCACACACGCATGCATGCATGCATGCACACACACCGATTTTAGCATCTGCTCAGAGCAGAACGATGGGAGGATCTCTGCAGCGGGGGTTGTGTAAGAATACTTGTCCTCTCAAGATGCTTCCATTCACTTACATCTTCAGCAGTTCCAGAGAGTGCCGTTTCCAGCAAGCAATCATTAGTCAGTGCTGGGATGGGTACTGTTCTTTTCAAAAAACAGAATCAAGGCTCTTGTGGTTCAGGCAGCCTTTTTATTGGTTTCCACATGTAACAGCTGTTTTGTGTAAGTGAGTGATGATGTAGTTCTTGAATCTCTTACAGATGTGATTTGGCTGAGGCAGAATGATGGACATGGCCCATGAGCTTTCTGCTTTTGACAGTGATTCTGTTATGGGGCACAAATCAGGGACATACACAAGACCTTGTGAGATCACGACCCCTCAGATCAATGGCCATGTTTGTTCCTTTGTCGGTGGCAAATGTGTGGCTATTTCCTTTCTACCTTTTCATTCCATAAATACTTCTCCAATCTGATTCACTGTGAGTTGAGTTTTGCGAGACTCCGAAGTCTCCAGGAATGCTACCAAAGCAGAAACTTTTACACCACCACACTGTCAGAAAGACTTCCGGTTACTTCTTCACACCCAAGCCTTTGATGTGAAGAATAAAAGAACTGCATGTTTATTTCACTAAACATTTTGTGTAAGCAGAATATAATTCAGGCAAAAGTGTTTTGGTAACATGCTTTCAACAGGGAATTTGAGACCTAGAAGTTACAGCACAGGCACATCTCAAAAATCCCTATTGCCAAACACAAAAATGGTTGGGTGTCTGTAAATAATTGTTTTGCAAGCTTTTAGTGAACTGCTAGCTTCTACAGAATCAAAGCATGCAGAGAAAGTCTGAGTTTGATATTTGAGTGATGAGAGGAAAATGCATTTTGATTTGTTGTGTTTTAATTACCATTCAGTTCAAAACATTTTCTGATTTCCATTGTGATTTCTTCTTTGATCTGTACTTTATTTAGAAATGCTTTGCTTAACTTCCAAACACTTGGGGTTGTAAATTATCTTTCTTAATGATTTCTAGCTTATTATACTCTGTGTGTGTGTGTGTGTGTGTGTGTGTGTGTGTGTGTTTGCGCGCGCGCGCTTAGTTGCTCAGTCGTGTTGGACTCTTTGCGACCCTTTGGATGGGACAGGCTCCTCTGTCCATGGGATCTTTCAGGCAAGAATACTGGAGTGGGCTGCCACGTCCTCCTCCAGGGGATCTTCCCAACCCAGGGATTGAAGCCTCATTTCCTGCGTCTCCTGCATTGTAGGCAGATTCTTTACCCGCTGAGCCATCAAGGAAGCCCATAGCTGTCCTAGTCTTATTTATTTATTGGTTGTGGGGTTTGTGGGGATCTTAGTTCCCTGACCAAAGATTAAACTTGAGCCCATGGCAGTGAAAGCACTAAGTCCTAAGCACTAGAGCTGCAGGGAATTGCTAGTCCTAGTTGCTTTTAAATGTTCCCTCTCCCCAAAGTTTAAGTGTCTTCTCTGCAACGTTTCACTAATATTCAATTGTGTGCTTACTTCTCATCATAAGACATATAGTATGTAGGAACTGAGGCTCATAACAACTTGCCTATGTTGATACAAGTGGAGAAATTGAGATCTGAACCTACTATTAATAATAATAATGAAGTATTTTTTCAAGTCGGCTCATTGATCTGTCTTACAAACACTTGTTGAGTGCCCAGTCTGCGCTCAGTCCTGGGGTCGCAAGGTGAAGGAGAGCCTATGACCTCTGCCCTCAGGAACTTTCATTCTTTGGAGGATACTGATGTAGGGCACACAGTATTACTGACTGGGATGGGATTCGTGCCATCAAATCAATGGTTCTGCAATAGTAATATGGTTTCTCTGCTTCTTAGGTTTATTGTGATGTTGCCCATCGCTTAACAGGACACATCGTGGATAGATCCTTGATTATCAACATCAGGATCAATGATGTGAATGATCACGCTCCTGAGTTCCCTGAGAAGGAATTTAACATCAGTGTGAAGGAGGACCACGCCGCAGGTGTGCATGGTGGGGTCGAGGGGGTCCCTGTCTTCTCTGTGCCATGACGGTTTTCCAGCTTCTGTAGTGACAGGGTGCCTCAGTCCTAGCTGTCTTCAGGGACTCTCGCTGTTCACATCCCAAAGGTCACAGGCCCAGGATGAGAGCAAAATGCCGTGAGGTCTCCACACTTCATTTTGTATCAGCAGAGCAAAATGATGTGGAAATTGTCAGTTGGAAGGGCTAACCTGTAAATATCAACCTAAAATAAATGAATGGAGGAAGAAGAAGAAGCAGAGGTGGGTGGTGGAATCCTGCATATTGCTGCAAAGTTCTCATCTGTAAACATCTGTAAAATGGCAACAAGATAGCATCTAAAATTCCTGAGCTAGGATTCTTCTAGTCTTGAAACCCGAACCATCCTCATTAAAATGTGCATGTATTTGAATAACAAAAAGCATTATTTATTTTGCAAAACAGTCTCTAGGAAATTTGGAAAATCCCAAGAAACAAAAAGACTAAAATAGGAAGCATCTTTAATGCTACCAATTAGAGATAAGTACCGCTAAAAGTTTTAGTTTATATTCTTTCAATATTTTTCTTTGCACTTTACATATGTGTGTGTGTATACTTCACTTTCACTTTTCACTTTTATGCATTGGAGAAGGAAATGGCAACCCACTCCAGTGTTCTTGCCTGGAGAATCCCAGGGATGGGGTCGCACAGAATCGGACACGACTGAAGTGACTTAGCAGCAGCATACACACATGGTATGTTACATTTATATGTGTGTATATATTCACAGATTTATACATACAGTTACAAATGTATATTTGTATATCTACATATTTTTTCATCTTTATCATAGTACAAAATGTATATGTGTTTATATTACATATGTATAAATATATGACCTGAAGAAGGACATGGCCATCCATTCCAGGATTCTTGCCTGGGGAATCCCATGGACAGAAGCCTGGTGGACTATGGTCACAAAGAGTCGAACACAACTGAGTGACTGACACACACACACAAATATATGAGCATGCTTTTTTATGTGTGCATATTTAAGAATTTTCTCTTTAAAAATGCAATTTTACTGTTTATAACCTAATAGTATTCTCCTAGAGCATCTTGTGTGCCATATTTTATTTTATAGATGTGCTTTAAGATTTTTAACCAATCTTCTTTTGTTGCACATTTACATCTCATTGTCACATTTTGTTATTTTTACAAAGCATGCTTCAGTGAACATATCTGAGCTAAAAGCGTGTGCCATTCAAGCATTGCCTACTTAGCACAAATTCAGACAGGTTGAATTGCTGCTCCAGACCACACACACAACTTCAGTGTTGCAATTTATCCATAGCCCAGCAGCATATGACAGGGCTTAGTGTATTGTTCATCTCTGATTACCAAGTGCTTGAACATGTGATAACTTTCCTGGCCATTTCTAGTTCCCTTTTCAGTTGCTTGTTTCTTTTCTTTGTCCACTTCTGTTAGCGTCATTGTCATTTTTTCTTCTTGACTTCAACCTCCTCTTTTGACATTAAGAATGTCTATGTCTCTGTCTGCCAACATGTATTCCAAATATATTTTCCTGGTCTATCATGTCCTTCCTTTTATTTATAGTTTTTTGCCACACACTTAAAAATTGATCTGTTGATTTTGTCCTTTAAGCCTCTGTATTTGCATCATGATTAGAAAGTCCTTCTTGACCTTATGATGATTTAAATATCCCTCTTCATTTTGTCTAGTATGTCTATAGCTTGACCTTTATATTTACATACTCAATCCATTCTGGTGTAAGCCCCAGTGCCATTCAGCAAAGAATCATTCTCCTACTGGTTGGATAGGCTGCTGTTGGCCAATAGTAACAATTAAAAAAATTCTTTCCAGGTCAACCTGTTTTTCAGATGTTAGCGCTGGATCTGGATCAAGAAAATACTCCAAACTCTCAAGTGCTTTACTTCCTTGTTTCTCAAACACCGGTACTGAGAGAGAGTGGTTTCCGGATTGACCGTGTTAGTGGAGAAATACGACTGTCAGGATGCTTAGATTATGAGGTTATGTGCACTTTATTGTTTTGGAAAAATAAAATGGCTTCTCCCTTCTCCCAGACTTAGGGTTTGCATTTGCAGTGAGAAACCCTCTGTGGCTAGATTGGCTACTGAAATTGCTAAAATGGAACATTTCTGTATTAGATTTCCTTTTCCCGTGTGTGAAGGGTTTCACCTACCTTTTCCTCCTCACGTAGACGGCGCCTCGGTTTACATTAGTCATTGGAGCGAGGGATTGTGGCAACCCGCCGCTGTCATCCACAGCCACAGTTCATGTGCATGTGCAAGACAGCAACAACCACATGCCCAGGTTCACCCAGGACCACGTAAGTCCCCACATGAACAGTCTCCATGCCCCAGGCTCTGTTTGCTGAGGGAATTCCTCCATCACCCAAGATACAGGCAATCTGCAGAATAACTTTAGCTAGAATCAAGAAGTCAACTGCATTGATAGGGAACCAGTTAACAGCAATCATGTGAGCCTACATTTGTTACTATTTTGTGCCAGAACAGTGTTCAGAGTATTGACAGGAATCCCTAGGTTTTCATTGGTTGGAGCTGCCGCATTTTCCATTCTGCAGGTGAGAAGGCCGAGGCTCGGGGAGGACGGAGGATCCAGGCTCCGTCCACTTCAGGAACTTTCCACACTGCTGATGTTTTGGAGATGGAGGAAGGCATAGGGAGGGTGGGGAGGGGCTGCCCAGTGACCTGTAAGCATGTTGAACAATAGCATCCTTGACCTCTGCCCGCTGGAGGACAGTAGCATCCCAAGTTATGACAACCAGAAATGTCTGCCACCATGCCCAATTGTCCCTAGCCTGACCCACAATGTTCAGAGCTCTGAAATAAGAAGATGGGCAGGCAGACTCGGGCCAGGCCTTCCCCAGATCACCTGGTTTATATATTGGGCTCCACACAAGATTTCACAGGCTGCTAGGTCCTCAGGCTTGAAGAAGGTGCTGGCACTCACTGTCCCAATCAGTTTGGGAATACGAAACCACTTAAAATGCAGAAGATTGCTAAGAGAGCAAGATTCTGGTACACAACAGTCTTTGTTGAATAAACAAATGCTACAAACACTTATTTTTTGTGTCATTTAAAAACATTAATTGTATAAGCCGAAGTTTATATATTTCCAATGAAAGCATCTCACTTAACAGTATGTAATAACTGAAACATATTTATTATATCTGAGTCTTGTTTCAAAATCCTTCTCCGACTTAGTAAAAAGCTATACTCGCGAAAGTAGGGCTGGAAAAAATACACATTGTTATTTTGATGTGCTGGAGAAATTATCTTGTCACCAAAAGTATTAAATAAGGAGCTATTTTAAAGATCTGTTATGTATTAGAAAGATTATCACCTTAATTAAAATACATAAGAGCTTTATTTTAGTAGAATTAGATTTTTGTAGGCAGCATAAACTAAGGTGTGTATTATTATTTTAAAAAGTGGTGCCTTGCATTGGAGAGAAGGGCACTTTTAAAGTTATGCAGCTCTTCAGTTATTTGGGCATCCAGTCACAGGGACGAGATATTTGTTGTTGACACGTTTTCTGCTGTAACAGACAGGCTTCCAGATCCTTAGTGGTCAAGTTCAATCATAGGAGAAGCATCCAAGTTGTCATCTGTCTACGTTTTCTTTCTTCCTCTCTGTTTTCTTTTCCGACTGTGTTTCTTTTTCTCCACGACAATGATGATCATCTCTCTCAGTATAACATTCAGATTGCGGAAGGCCGGGCCAGCCAGGGTGTGTTACGTCTCGGGGTTCAAGATGGTGATTCACCATCTACAGCAGCATGGAGAATGAAGTTCGACATAACGAATGGCAATGAAGAGGGACATTTTGACATTTCGACAGATCCTGAGACCAATGAAGGGATTTTAAGTGTCATCAAGGTAAATGTATCTGAGCAGGTGGCTGTAGATACCGAGGCCCTTTCTGTAGGACTCCTGACAATGAAGTAGGTGCCAACAGATGATCCACGTGCTCTGAGCACATGACCTGCTGGGTCACAAGTCACCATGGCCAGTGAGGAGCACAGGGCTGCGTGGATCTTCAGCTCTTTGCCTTCATGGCTCCTCCCATCAAAATCGTATCAGTATTCAAGATTATTTTTGATATGACCAGTTACTTCAACATTAAATTCTTTGGGTCTGTTTTAGACAAAATTTAGCAGATTTATGTAGTCCCTAACGTGTTTCTTTCTCCCGATGTGATAAAATCATTTACGACATTTTCTCGAACCCCATGAGTTCATTTTTCTTTTGGGTTTGAAAGAAATTAGAACATTTTCATGGACCCGTAAAAATACTGTGGGCTCCTGGCACTATGCCTGCTGTGCGTAGTAGAGAGTTGGCCCTGAAATAAAGTATTATTATCTCATTTAATGATGAGGAAACTGAAGCCCAGAGAGGCTGGCTTGTTTTCACGAAGTCACATGACTGGAGTAGGGGTTCTGACTGGAGCGGTCTGACTGCAGCGCCTTTAGTCTTAATTGCTCTCTGTAGACCCTAGAATGACCAGTGCCTCTGGTGTAGTGCAAGTGAGTCAGTCTGGGGGTCAGCTGCAAAGGCAGACCTGAATGAGTATATCTGGAGTGGGGCCGATTCTGCTTGTCAGTGTAACAAGCTCCCAGATGATGCTGAGGGGCCATACCATGCTGTGAATAGCAGGGCTCTGTGGGTTTTCCATGCCAAAGGCCTGGGGCTGGATTTCCCAAATATTCCTAGTTTTTCAACCCTTTTAAGTCACTGACCACTTTGTCCTCTGAATAGCTATGATCATTAATATCCATATTTCCCTAAGCGCCACAGGGTTTTTGCAGGAGAGTTGTCACATTAATGTTTCATTAGGTTATGGTTTTTGTTGCATTTTTCATTACCCTCTGACTGATGGTGGCTCTTTTCAACCAGGAGGAAGGAGGGGGAAAAAAAAAAAGAACTCTATAAATGATTTGAAAATGGGCTGACAACTGTCTTTTGATCATTATCAAAGACAATGTAAATAATAAATGAGGCACAGAAGCCACAGGCGCCGGGTTAGCAGTGACAACTCACGCTGAGAGGCTCCGTCCGGCCCGCAGAGCCACGGGGGGCTAATGAAACCTTTTCTCTGGGGTGGCAGCCTTTGGACCATGAGACGCAGCCAGCGTGGAGCCTGGTCGTGGCCGTGGAGAACGAAGAGCCGCTCTTCTCCTGTGAAGGGGGGCAGCTGCAGAGACCCCCGCAGGCCTCAGCCAGCGCCATCGTGAGTGTACGGGTGACCAATGCCAACGACCCGCCCACCTTCCACCCTGGGACCTTCATCGTCAGTGAGGTCGATGGCGCAGGGCCGGGAACTCGGCTGGGAATGTTCAATGCTACAGATCCAGATAGAACCTCTGGCCAGATAAGGTGGGGAGACTGGACTGGGAAGGGTGGGAGTTCATGCAGAATTAGCCACGCGCCAGAGAGGGTTCCTGTTTGAAACTGGCTCCTTCTATGTGCTCCTGAGGGCGACTCCGTCCTAGTTGTGAAAATGCCATAAGTCACCCACCCCAGAACTCCCCTAGCCCAGGTTCAATGCAGTTTTCCTTCTGTAGTGTCCTCTGACCCTCATGGGAAGAATTCAACTTGTTCATTTCCTTTGCATAGAGCACAACATTATTTTACAGTCTTTTTCCTGTATTAAAATAATTTGTTATGTATTTCCAGTCCCTCTTTACCAAATGTTGTAAACTGGCAGCTTTGTGGCTTCTGGCCAGCAGAAGTGTTTTCAATTGTGGCAAAATGTACATAGAGTTTACCACTATCACTGTTTTCAAGTGTGTGGTTCAGGGACATTGAGTACATTTATACTGTATGTCACATTGCACCTTCCCCACCACCCATCTGCAAGATCTCTCCTCCATCTCTTGATTTCCCCAAATTAAAACTCTGCACCCAGTAAACAATAACCCCCCATGCTCCCCCACCTCTAGGACCCTGCACAACCATTTTCCTTTCTGTCTCTATGTATGTGACTGCTCTAAGTACTTCACATAAATGGGATCACACAGACTTTCCTTTTGTGACTGGCATATTTCACTTAGCATAGTGCCTTCAAGTTTCGTTCATGCTCTAGCATGTGCCAGAATTTCTGTCCTTTTAAAGCTGAATAATATTCCACTATGTGTATATACCACGTTTTTTTTGTCCATTCATCTGTTGATGGATACTTGGATTGATTAGTGTTTTGTTTTTTTAAAAATGAAGTTGCCACAATCCCCAGGAAGGTGGCAGAGTGGAGAGTGCCAGGAATCAGTTTCCCCATCTGGACAATGACGATGCTGGCAGAATTTGTCTGATGGACTGAATTTGGAACTCAGGAATCTGTGGAAGAATTGCAACTTCCAGGGAAGATAGTGCAAACCGTGGTTCACTGTGGTTCATGTTGGCTCTTAGCGCAGTACCTCCCTCACATCCAGCCCCATGCAAGGCAGCTGTGCCTCTGTCCCTGGAACTGGATACACAGCCTGTGGGAGCCGGGGTGGGCAAAAAATTAAGACATTGATTCCCTTCTCATCAGTAATTAATTTATACATGTAAAGATTAAACTCTCCAGTTAAAAGACAGAGCTTGGCAGAATGGATAAAAAACACATGATCTGACTCTGTGTTATCTTCAAGAGGCTTCCTTGATATCCAAAGACACAAACAGAAAACCTAACACCATATACAGAAATTAACTCAAGGGTTTCCCTGCTGGTTCAACGGTAAAGAATCTGCCTGCCAATGCAGGAGACTCGGGTTTGATTGCCGATCCGGGACGATTCCACATGTAGTGGAGCTACTAAGTCCATGCATCACAACTATTGAACCTGTGTTCTAGAGGTGGATGCCATTGTCGAAGCCCTCGTGCACTAGAGCTTGTGCTCAGCGACAAAATAAGCCACTGCAATGAGAAGTCTGTGCACTGCAACTAGAAAGTAGGCCCTGCTCACTGCAATTAACAGAAAAGCCTGAGCAGCAATGAAGACCCAGCACAGCCAAAAGCAAATAAATAAAATTATTTTAAAAATTAACTCACAATGGATCAAGTAAGTAAGTGTTAAGACCTAAAATAATACAACTATTATTAATACAACTATAGAAGATAATCCTAAGACAAAACCTCACAACACTGTATGTGGCAATCATTTCTTAGAAATGACACCAACGGCACAGATAACAAAAGAAAAGATAGCCAAATTGGACTTCATGAAAACCAAAACTTTTTTTTTTTTTGCATCAGAAGACACTATCCGCAGAATACAAAGGCAAAATGGGAGAAAACACTGGCAAGTCATACATCTGATAAGGGATTAATATCCAGAAAATATAGAGAACTTTGAAGACTCAACAAGAGCAACAACAGCACCCTGATCCAAAAACGGACAAAAAACTTGACATTTCTCTAAAGAAGATACAAGTGGCAAACAAGCACACGAAAGATGCTCAACATCACTAATCATGAGGGGAATGCAAATCAAAACTGCAGTGAGATATCACTTCACACCCATCAAAAAATAACAGAAAACAGGCTCTAGGTTCATCAGATTTGAACCACCTCAGTTCAATTGCTGATTCAAACTGTTGCACAGCAGAAAACAACACAGCATTGTAAAGCAATTATCCTCCAATTAAAAAAAAAAAACCCAAAAATGGAAAACAAGTGGTGGGGAGAATGTGGAGAAATTGGTATCCTTGGGCACTGCTGGTGGGAATATAAGATGATACAGCCTCCGAGAGAAACAGTAGGGGAGTTCCTCAAAAAATTAAAAATAGAATTACCATATGATCCAGCAATTCCACTTCTGGGTACATGCCCAAGAGAGCTGAAAACAGGGCCTCAAAGAGATGTTTGTACACCCATGTTGATAGCAGCATTAATCACAGTAGCTAAAATGTGGAAGCAACCCAGGGAGCCATTGATAATGAATGGGCAAACAAAATGTGGTCCATACATGCAATGGAATATTATTCAGCCTTAAAAATGAAGGGAATTCTGCAATATGCTCCAACATGGCTCCAACATGGATGAACCCTAAGGACATTATGCTAAGTGAAATGCACTAGTCACAAAAAGACAAATTCTGTACAATTCCACTTATAGGAGGTACTTAGAGTAGTCAAATCTCATAAAGAAATAAAATGGTGATTTCTAGAGTCTGGCAGGAGGGGAAATGGAGAGTTATTGTTTAGTAGGCATAGAGTTCAATTTTACAAGAATGAAAAGAGCTGTGGAGATGGATGGTGGTGATGGTTGCATAGCAGTGTGATGTATTAATATTTAATCCCACTGAATGCAATTTAAAATGGTGAAGGTGGTAAATTGTATGTTATGTGCATTTTACTGCAATAAAAAGACAGAGATAATAAAGCTGCAAGCATTTAAAAATCAAGAGTATGCTAACAACCTGAATTATCCAAATATTCTTGAAAAAGAGGAAGATTTGGCATTACTGGGTCTGTGTCCAACAGGGTCATGATCATCGGGGGCACGGGGAGAGGTCCCTTTGACCTCTTGCTCATCAATTGACACCAATCCTTATCCGACCAGCTTTGCTCATTTCTTGCACCTGCTCGGGACACCCCTGTGGGCACTAGAGTTTGAGATTCTTCCTTAGAGCAATGCTTCTTGGCTTAACCATTGAGAAGGACCAGATGTTGCTTTTTAAAATTTCCAGTTCACTGTGGAATAATAATTTTATAAAATATTAAAAGATAAATTACAAAAACATGATCATGTGCTTGGTGGCCACAGTAATGCCACTGACTATAAAAATTTCCTGATGCTTGCTTCTCAGTTTTCTCTCTTATATCCTTGGGGGCAGCTGCCCTGGAGTTCCAGACCACCATGGTCTATGCAGGCAAGTGCTGAGTTAAAGAGGCCCAACTGCAGTGTGAATCAGGGTCACTTGGAAGGCCTGTTAAATGCCCTTTGCTGGGTCTCACCCTTGGGGTCTCTGATTTTGAGGTCTGGGATTGGGACCGAGATTTGCATTTCTAACAGGTTCCAAGATGATGCCGATGCTCCTAGTCCGTGCCTGGACCTCTTCTGGGGGATACCCACAGAGACCCCAAATCTGATTCAGGGCTGTATTCCTGTCCCTAGAGTAAGTTGGTCCCTTTGTAAACCCTGACTTGACAAATATCAGACAGGGAGAGTTACTGACCTTTTCCAGGGCCTTTAAGTGATGAGGAGGAGAAGGCACATGAAACCCCCTGTCTTCCGCTGTTTTGGGGAGCGACGTCTTTTCTGTTTGCCTGTGGGTCCAGGCCTTTCCTTCTCTGGGTCTCTCAGCAGGTAGGTTGGGTTCCGATGGTTCTGCTTGGTTCTGATGGCTGCCCTCTGACTCTGACAGATCTTGGGGAATTCTGGAAGGCCAGGTGTGCTCATCCATTAAAATGGTTACCAGGTGCACACAGGTGAAGCAGGATGTAGACAGCCATGTTGCCTGGCTGTATTACCCACGTGTGAATCCTCTAGGCTCCAGGGCTAATATAGTCTTGTGCTTCTGTTGCAAGGGCGGGCTTGGCTTAACATGAAGCCACCAGCTCCTGCAGGCTACTGAAGATTGGCTCTTTTCCAGGATGAAATGTTTTCCCTGAGGTGGATAGAGTTATGTGCAGCCCGACAAGGACAGGACACCTGGTGTTCAGTGAATACTGATCTGACACTCTGGTTGGGTCTCAGGTCTCTGGGCCTTCATCAGAGCCAGGAACACTCCTAACAGAGGTTCTTACAATTTCCCAGATTCACAATGGGAATTGTGTCTGCTGTGGTTTATTTGACTTGTCTCTTAATGTAACTTTTTAATTTTAAAAATTACATGTGTTTTCTTCTGCAAGATACAAACTGGCTTATGATCCCGCAAACTGGGTCAGCATAGATGAGCGCTCTGGGGTGGTCATCACTGTGAAGCCGGTTGACCGCGAATCTCCTCATGTCAATGACAGCATTTACGTTATCATCGCTCATGCTGTTGATGATGGTAAGCACTGATCCAGAATTGTCAGAGGGGACTATGTTTTCTTGCTCCTAAGGGGAAATGACACAGGTGAGTGTCTTTCAGTCCAACTGGGAAAGATATAAACTTTTTATCATTGTGCATCCATATTGATGATTATTTTTGATAATTCTTGAAATGGCAAACTAGGAGGCTATGCCATAGAAAGAGGGGCAATGTTCATTCAGAGACGATGAGCCTGATAAGGACACAGCCCCACCACAGCATCTTTTTCATCTGTTCATAAGACAACTCTCTAGCTCTTTGTCAAAGCCAATTGCATATGATAAACATGGGCAGTTTCCCTGCACTTGGACCACTTTATAAGCTCAGGAAAATGTGACTGTGCAGGACAAATTTGTCATCAACCAGGATCGGTGATTTTTATCAGTATGTTTTAACACTTTTCTCTACAATCTCGCTCAAGGCTGTATTTCTTAACCTACCAAAGCAGAAAGCTAGAAAAAGAAAATATTTCAAGTAATTTTAATGACTGTATTTAAGGAAATCTGTAAATTAGAGTTGTAATAAGAGTTGTCTTATGAACCCAGATTCCCAAGCATACATGGTTGTATATCCTATTTGCATAATTAACAGTTGTATAATTAACGTTGCTTAGGGAGCAATTACATCTGTGTTCCTAATTGGTTTTAGGTGAGGGTTCCATAACTCTGTTATAGATGTTTTAATGCATGGCACTGTTTTTTCAGTGGAATAGTTTAAAAAAAATAGATTTTTATTTTGAGGTCATTGTAGACTCACATGCAGTTTTTAGAAATAAGGTAGTGGAAAAAAAAAAAAAAAGAAATAAGGTAGTGGAATCCCAAGAACCTGTTGCCCAATGTCCTCCAGGGGTGACACCTTGCAAAACTCTAGTGCAAGATCCAGACCAGGATCACGGTGGGGACCCAGTATAGAAGCTGAGGTCTCCAGAACTACATCACACCCATCCCTCACTGCCCCCACCACTCCTGCCTTAACAACTTCCATGGCTGATATTATCATCTACTCGATAATTGTACCTCATTCAACAAGTGTTTTATTAACTTATCCTATCCAAATTTTCAAAAAAGCAGGAAAACAGATCCAGCCCTTGCAATAAAGCTTATTGAAAGGGAATTGGCTTCAGTGTCTCCGCAGAGTGGTTCTTTTCTGCAGAGGCCGAGAGCGCTCATTCAAAGGCATCTGTGTGCTGAGGCAGCCTCTGGAATTAATCAGCAGCCCTGCTGGGACACCCCCTCCTTCCCACCCAGGTGTCCCTCCACAGACGGGAACGGGGACCATGCTGCTCTTCCTGTCAGACGTCAACGACAACGCTCCTGTGCTCCGCCCGAGCTCTCAGCACCTGGAGGTCTGTCAGTCTGCTGGAGACAAGGCCCTCCTCATCGAGGCAGAGGACAGCGACCTGGAGCCCTACTCCGACCCCTTCACCTTCAAACTGGACAGCACGCGGGGACATACAGGAGACATGTGGAGACTAGGGGAAAACAGGGGTGCGTATCACACTGGCCAGAGAGAAAGGCTGGAAAAGGACAGAGACCTGATTCACACAGACTCAGGCCAAGAGGAATGTGCTAGCTTATGTCACCAAGAAAGGGACAGGTAAGCCTGTGTCCCAGCAGACCTGGGTGCCCAGAGGACTTCCTGGAGGTGGTGGCTCCTGACCTTGGCTATGTGTTCCCTTCATCTGCAGGCAGGTTCTCCTCTGGAGATAGCAGCGTGGCGGCTGGGAGTCCCTGGGACTCTTTCTGGTGCCTCGCAAGAAGGTGTACATCATTGCAAGGCTGGAGCCACCTGCCCTGCTCAGCACTGGGTGTGGGTTGGGAGGGCAGATGTGCTGGATGGTTGGTACTGAGCCCACACCTGGACCTGGCTGGGATCTGGGCTTAGCCCCTCCTGATCCACGCGGGGGATGAGTTCAGGAAGTGTCGGCGCCCCTAAAGGAAAGCAGGGGTGCTGTTTCCATAGCCGTGAGTAGACAGTTCTCAGAGAGTCCTGAGTCCTTCTAGAGAATCATCAACCTGAGGGTGGTCTTGGGAACCACTTCACATGCCGCTGGTGTCCACGGGAGAGTGGTCGTGGCCACCTCAAACGTCCTACAAAGCCTGGCACAAGGGAGGCATTAGGAAATAACCCCTGAGCAGCTGAACGAATGAACACATCAACGCAACTAAGGTCCCCCTCCCTCTGCAGGTTATTCAGTGGAACTTCTAATGCAGAGAAGCCTTCCACTTGGTGACTACTCTGTGCCGCTTCTCATCGGAGACAAACAGGGACTTTCCCAGAAGCAGACTGTCCACGTGAGGGTCTGCTCCTGTCCCGATGGATTCACCTGTGCAGAGCCCCTCGTCGCGAGAGCTGGGGTCCTGCAGGGGGCCCTGGCCCCTCTTGGTGTAGCGTTCATGGCTCTGGCAGGTCAGCATAGACAGGAGCTGTCCTGGGAATGCAGCTCCTCTCCCCGGCTGTAAGCCAAGGGCATAGAGTCCTTGGCGGTGGGGATGGCCGAGGCCAGCGGGTTGTCTTTGAGAATGACTCCCAGGCTCATGGGAGGCCCAGGCTGGGATGGGAGGTTTCCACCCTGGTCAGATAAGCTGCCTGCCTGGCAGAGGGGGCTTCTGCTCAGTAGCAGCACTTTACAGCAATGAACCTAGAGATGGACATTGTCTAAGGACAGTGGTCCACTGTCTGTGGATTCTTGCTAAGCAGGAGATGCAGGTTCAATCCCTGGGTCTGGAAGATCCTCTCCTGGAGAAGGAAATGGCAACCCACTCTAGTATTCTTGCCTAAGAAATCCCATGGACAGAGGAGCCTGGCGGGTTATAGCCCATGGGGTCGCAAAAGGTCAGACATGACTGAGCAACAGAGCAAAGATGATTTTAGTAGTTGAGGACAGCAATGTACACAAGCTCCCAGGCTTGGCAAAGGCTAACAGGGAAACTCAATTTTCAAGGAGAGTGTAGAATATTACTGGTCACGTAGTATTACTTAATCAGTCCGACAAATAGTTACCTCTCACCTACTGTGCCCCAGGCTGTGCTAAGCGCTGAGGCTGCAAAGATTGATGAAGGCTCAGCTTGCCCCCATGAGCTCCCAGCTGAGTTATATGCCAGCAGCGCAGGCTTCGGTGGGAGGGAACCTCTGATCGGCCAGAGCTCCGGCATCTCCTCTCCCCCTTGTCCCGTCACAGCTGCTCTGCTCCTCCTGCTGCGATGCCGCCTTGTGTCCAGAGCCGAGAGGCAGGGTCACCTTGTGCCGTGGAATGAGGGGATCCAGACCCTGATCACGTGGAACGAGGAGAGCAGAGCCGATCCTCTCCAGGTAGTGCGGCTGGGCTGTGTCTCCTGAGGATGATGCAGTAGGCTCTCCATACTGCTCTCATTCACGGTCCCCTCGTGTCATCATCTTGTCTCATTTGTTTAGGGCACTGGCTCTGAACTGGGGGTGATTCTGGCCCCCATCCCCACCCCAGGGGACAGCTGGCAGTGTCTAGAGGCGTGTTGGTGGTTAGAACTCAACTGGGAGTGCACAGTCAGCAGGGCGTGTGGGGGGCGGTGGTGATGCTATTGCATCTGGTGAGTAGAACCGACTGGGGGACACTGCAGGCCATCCTGCTGTGCTCAGGACAGCCCCCATGACAGAGGGGTCACCCGCTTGAGTGTTAGCAGTGCCGAGGCTGAGAAATCTTATTTAGGCCAAATGACCTTTTTCAGGTGGAGTTTCTCTAGTATTACTAACAGCAGTTACCAGTTACGTCCTTGTAGCCACTGGTAAATAAGGCTGCACCGCTGTGTTCACACGTCCCAGTTATTCCACCTAATGTGAACACGCCTGCCTGCATCCACACACTGGGGACACTGCGCACTCTTGAGAAGATTCCCTTCACCCAGACAACATCACCGATTCCACCCGCCTTGTGCTTTTCTGCCACTGGACATGCCCCCTGATCAAGAGGGTCTGCCAGACAGCACGGGGGCCTCCCCTCTCTGTGGGGAAGCCAGTGAGCCCTTAGGAAAGAAATCCAGGCCTTCCCTGGAGGCCCAGTGGTCAAGAATCTGCCTGCCAGTGCAGGAGAGAGACACTGGTTCGATCCCTGGTCTGGGAAGATCCCACGTGCTGCAGAGTAACTGAGCCCGTGGGCCACAGCTGCTGAGCGTGTGCCCTAGAGCCTGTGCCTTGCAACAAGAGAAGCCACCGCAATGAGAAGCCCAAGCACTGAGATGAAGAGTAGTCCCCACCCGAAGCAACTCGAGAAAGCGCTTGCAGCAACGAAGAGCCAGCACAGCCGAAATAATAAATAAATAAATCTTTTTAAAAGAGAGAAGAAATCCAGCACTTCTCAACACCCGAGTCCCTCAGTGAATATTTGTTGAGTGAGAAATGGATAAGGCCCCACACAGCACTGCCCACCGTGGCGACCCCAAGAGCCATCATTGAGGCTTAGAAGAGGGCAAGGACCAGTTTTGAGATGCTGAGGCTGACTGAAACAAGGTTTTCTCTTTGGTTGCTTGATTTTTGTTCTTGCCATCTCTTCATGTGAGCCACTAAACCACAAGAAACTTCACTTCCTGACCAGTGATTACAAAGCGTCCGCTTGCCAGGGTTGCCCTCCGGCTTCACAGCGCAGGCTGTGTTTTCCAGGGTCAGGATGCTGTCTGTGGTGCCAGAGGGGAGACATTACTCCCTGTCCTCTGTGTTAAATTCTGCCATCTGTAATTTCAGCCCCAGTCATATTTCTTTCCCTCTGTCCCACAGGGAAGGTCATACCTCAGGGATCACATGCCAGCCCCGTCCATCAGCCCAGCCGAGGTGGGCGCCAAGCTGGGAGCTAAGGTGAGTGTGGCTCATTTGCTGCTTGTGTTGAAACAAGAGGGGTGGCTTTGATGACTGTTCAATGCAAGGGGGGCACCACGGCTGCTCCCCGACCTACATCCTGGGATGTCCCCCTACAGGCCCACCCCACACCTACTTTCACCCCAGCCCCACCTGCAAAGCCCCTGCAATTCTGCTCAACCTCACATGCCTTTGCTCCCAGCTCAAGTGTCGGATGGCTCAGGCCCACACTCCAGTCTGTCCAGCGCTAACTTCATGACTTTAAACATTATTTTCCTTTAAATGGACTTGTGTCCAAAAGAAGTGCATTTCTTTAAACAGGAAATTTTATATTTCAGTTGTAAGCAGAAAACCAGTTTTACTTGTGTAAAGAGCAGGTGAATGAAACGCAGACACAACAGAAATGGAACCCTGTAATTCTAGGTAGAAAATGTGGAAAGAGAGAGCGAGCCAGGAGAGGCTGGCACCTGACGGACATGTCTTCCTTGATGTCATTAGGAGTATGGAAGAGGACTTAGACAGGGACTGATTTTTCTCACCATGCGGTTCAATGTCATTTGAAACCCTGTTCCCAGTCTGGCTAAACTTGCCCTTCTCTAAGCAGACGGAGACTCCACTTTGGAAAAGAGCGAGTTGACCCAGGGCTTCTGTCATTTATTGTGCAGGCACCTGGCTGGGGAGAGCAGGGCCAGGTCCAGAGGGCATCTTCCCACCACTCCATATTCCCAGGGGGAGGGGGACAGAGACTCTTAGAGAGGGCTGGTGGGGGCCTCTTTTCCTTGACTGGTCTATAAGCTTCTGGAGGCCAGAGGTCCTGGTAGGCACAGTAAGAACTCTGGTCCACTCATCGTGCCCTGGGGTTTGCACTCTGCAAGTATAATCCCATTGCATCTTTACCAAACCCCTGCCAGAGGGTACCTTGCTCCCCCATCTGCAGGGGAGGACTCCAAGGCTGCTCTTCTATTTTCTAGTGAGTCTGTAGGTTCCCTTTATGATGTCCTGCAAATAGTCGGTGTACCTGTTGTTGCTGGTTTGATAGTCAGCCATTCACATACCTTCCCTCAGTGAGATTGTCACTTACGATTATCAGGTGACCTGCTATTTTAAAATCTGTGACAAGGTATGGACTTCCTTAGAACTGTTACTGAGGACCTGCACCTGCTTTATTTTCTTTGCAATTTTATTTCATGATTGAAGGGCTTATATTAAAAATAGAAACCCAAAGCAAAAATTGTCCACAATCCCATCCCTAAATCTAAACAGTTTCATCTATCTATGTCAGCTTCTAGATCTTGTGTGCATATTCAGTTCTCAGGTGTCTATAATATCATCCATAGAATGTTATAATCTACATCTTCAAGTCACGTTGGGTCACACATACCCACTTTATTTTATTCTTTTTTTCTTTGCTTCTCTTCACCTTCCCTTTTCTACTCCCATTTTCCCTCCCCTCCATCATAATGCTAATTTTTATTTGCACGTGAGTATCTGAGCAGGAAAAGGGGTAGCTTTGTTTTCACTTAGAGGGAAATGCGTTACCTTTGGAGTAAACCAGCGTTGTCCCCTAGGATGTAAACGAAATGCCACTTTCTCTGTTGAGTGCATCTGACCAACTACACCTTGTCCTGGGAACTCCAGTGAGTTGCATAGCTTTACTCCTGCTGCTGGGACTTCACTGGTGACGGACAGTGGGTTCCCTTCTAGAAGATTCTGTGAATCTGGTAGAACGAACACATAGTTGTGAAAACCTTCTCATGTATCTAACTAACTATTGTGATTGTTGGTTGTTACTGAGTTGTTATTTGATAGCTCTGATCAAATATGACACCCACAAATAAATACATTTCTCTGTGTTCATGTCTGGGCACCAGACATCATCTATAAGACTAAGAGCACTGGCCTTGGTCCTAACCAACTTCCAGTCCAGTGACTCCACACCTCCTGCCAAACTGAGCCATGTCCTTATACACTCCATATACATATTCTAAAACTAGAGCTTTGCTTTTTAACATGACTTTTCAGGCTCACACAAAGTTGTAAAAATAGTTCAGAGTTCCTGTGTACCTTCCACACAGCTTTCCCCAAGAATAATAGTCTACATAGTATGTTATCAAAACCAGAAAACTGACTTTGATACGACACTATTGACAGAGGCCTCAAAATACAGACCTTATTTGGACTTCACTAGTGTAGCTAGCTTAACTAGTGTAACTAGTGTAACTTAACTAGTGTAAATATTTTCTCTTCTAACAAGATCTAAAATGGGTTCTCAAGGGCCAAAGAGTCACTGTTTTCATGACGGAAAGCTTTTAAGAAAGAATTCAAGATCTCTATAATTCATTATTTTTCTCAGGCTACATTTGAGCCAAGATAAAAGAGTTCTTCTCTTTTGCACAGACCTGATTCCATGAATCCTAAAAAGGGAGTGTGCATTGATAGGTATGTCCCTCTGACCGTGGAAGGGGCAGCTTCATATGCATGGAACTCAGTCAGTCCCACAGGCCCCTGTGCTCAGAAGGGCCTTGTACTTAGTTAATACTCTCCTGTCACCATCTTGAAACACTTCATATCTGGCAAGGGGCTCACATTTTTTATGCTGGGTCCTTCCAATTATGTAACCAGTCTTGGGTCTTAGGAATGAATGGGCCACATTCACAGACTTTAAGACACACCGTGAGTCTGATGAAAATTTTGTAGACCCAAGATGGTCTTGGAAATCTCATATTTTTGTGTTCCATCCACACAAAGCAACTATAAAACTCACCCATGGATTTCTGCTAGGAATACCTACGTTGCTATCATTAGATACCTTTAATGCAGAAACAGGAGGCCTTATGGTTACAGAATTTCTAGTTATGTGTTTGCATCTTTGGGTAATTTATATGGAACCAATAAACACTTCATTTTTTTTACTTTAATTAATTTTTCATTTTCTAAAATAATTTCAGGGTCATGGCGTGTTTTTTGAGCCAACTGTGAGAAACAAATACTCTACTCCTGTAAGTACCGATAAAGAAGTTACCATGAAAAGAGTCACCTTACTGTCCTGGCAGCCGTGGAAAGCCCTGAAAATGGGAAACTGGGAAGGGGGAAGGTGGTAAAAATATATCCAACCAATGTCCAAATAAGCTGAAAGCAGTGAATGTGGGAAGCAGTGAAAATGTTAGTCACTCAGTCCTGTCTGACCCTTTGCAACCCTATGGACTGTAACCCACCAGGCTTCTCTGTCCAAGGAATTCTCCAGGCAAGAATACTGGAGTGGGTAGCCATTCCCTTCTCCAGGGGGTCTTCCCAATCCAGGGACTGAACCTGGGTCTCCTGAATTGGCAGGTGGATTCTTTACTGTCTGAACCATGACATCTAGGGAGCAGATGAGAACTAAATAAAGTACTCACCTCTAGACCTGAAAGCACCAGAGTTTTTCAGTCCCTGACAAGTTTCTTTTGCTGCTGAGAAGCTGGGAACTTGATGAAGGCCTGAGTATTCTTTTGCTTCGATTCTTCATGGATTTATAGAAGTTTTGAACTAAGGGGACTATAGAGGCCATTAGTCCATTTTCTCCTAAACCTTTCTAACAGCAGAATCCTTCTTTACAAATGAGATCTTACAAAGAATGACATTATAAATGAAACAGAAAAGAGCTGTTTTTTTATTAGTACTGATCTGAAGTGCAGTGACACAACATACATCTGTTACCAAAACAACAAATAAAAATAGTGATTCAACTGGAAACAATAACAACAAAAAGGAAGTTGGATATTGTGGAGGAAGTTTGCAGAGCTCTTCTTTAGTGCCTAATTCATTGCCTCACATTGTTGAAATCGATTCTTAAGGTGTCAAGAAGATTTCAATTTATGACAATAAGCAGTTTCAAATATTTTTAAGGGAGTTTAGTTTATCATATCAGGTTCTCTTTAATTTAGCAAACAAGAGACAAAAAGCTTCCTTCAAGTTTCATAAAAGCAAATTATAACATTTTTGCTTTTATTAACATGTTGAGAGGACTCAGTTAAAAAGATGTAAACCCTTCTCCATTATATTAGAAAAATAACATTAAATATTATTATTAAAATAACTTTCACATAATTAGAATGAAATTCAAACACTCTTGCTGAAGCACCTTTGAGGAGTCGTGGGTTGTGGGTCCTGGGAACATGCCTGAAACCAGCTCCATGCCGAGCTGCCAGGGGAGGGAAACAGTGCTCTCGGCCTTGACAGAGGCATGTGCAGTAAATGCAGCAAAATGAAGCAAAAGCAGCAAAAAGTGGCATGTGGTGGAACCTAAAATCTACTCAAGGCAAAATTGACCCTGAGTTTTCCTGGAGACTGGTGTACCTTCCACCAGCCCAGAAAGGACCACAGGGTCTGACCAGCAAGCACACTGGAGGAACAGCCTGTGTCTCTTGTATCCTTCTCCGAGAGGCCCACGGGAGCTGGAGGGCAGTGACTGAGGACACAGCATCGCCAGGCAGCAGGTCTCCAGGGTTGTTGGTAGGGTTATCCCTGCTACCTCTTTGGATAAGAGTGTTTAGTTCAATTCGCAATGGTGGGATGGGATGGGTTTATGTGTATAGACAGATATGGGCACAGACAGGTGGACATGTAAAATTATCCCAAACTTCACAGTGTTTTATACACATCTTCTGGAGTATACAAAGGACCCCTAAATCCAGGGGTGATCAGAAGTCACCACAGCTATAAAAGTCACCAGTGTGTTTCTGAAAGTGAAAGTGAAGTCACTCAGTCGTGTCCGACTCTTTGGGACCCTGTGGACTGTAGCCTACCAGGTTCCTCCATCCATGGGATTCTCCAGGCAAGAATACTGGAGTGGGTTGCCATTTCCTTCTCCAGGGAATCTTCCTGACCCAGGGATCGAACCTGGGTCTCTCGCATTGCAGGCAGACGCTTTACCCTCTGAGCCACCAGGGAATGCTCTCATGTCACTCTCTCATTTAACCACCTGACAGCTGGCCGTTGTCCGGGGATGGTCTGCAGCCCTGAGACCTGGGGTCATCTGGTCTCTCCTGCGCTGTCCTCTGCCTGCAGGTCTGGGCTGCCTCCAGCCCCCCGGCCTCTACTGGCCTTCCCTCCTCGTGGGCCCTCCTCTGCTTCCATCCCCAGGCCCTCCTCTTCCTGAGAGGCCGCAGGAGCAGGCGGCTGAGGTCTCTCTTGCACCTTACACGCTCATCACTATGTTCCTCTCACCTTGGGTGTAGGCCTGGCACCTGCCTGAGCCTGAGTGAGGGGCTGCTTGGCCTCACCTGCGTGGGCCTGACTCCATGATGCAGGTGGGGCTCTCTGGGGTCCCGGGTGGCCCCCACGTGGGGCATGCTAAGCCCACCTCCTCACAGCTCTACCCCACTCTTCAGCCAGAACCTGAGACCCAGTCCTTGCGAGAGCAGGCTGCACGGCACCCTGTGTGCACGAGGTGTGGCTGACCTGCCAAGGCGGGAGGAAGGGGATTAGTACCTGGGACCAGTGGTGGGATGAGCTTCCCCACGTGGGGCAGTCAGCCTCTTGCTGATTCCTGTTTGTGGACCAGACCCAAACCCTGCTGGCCAGACTCACTCGGCTTCCTTCTTCCCTGGAAGCGAAGGCACGGAGGGTCCATCAGTGATCAGTCAAAACCGGCAGGGCTGCCCTCTCTCCCTGCACACACGGAGGTGACATCTGGTTAAACTGCCCTTGGCCTGTTGTCCCCTCCAGGAGAGCTGAGACAGCCCTCCGCCTGGTGGGGGCCCCCGTGTGCCAACCAGCAGAGGCCATCAATTGAGGGGAGCTGTGAGCTGACCCCGGAGGGTTAGGACTCTTTGCTTCGCTTTTCAGGTTTTCCTTGATACCACGGTGACCAGAGGACCCCTGGAAATGAGAGCAGGAGTGATGATGGAGGTGCTGAGTCAGGTAGGAGGCCCTCAACTCTACAGATGCTGCATTAGAGGGTCTGGGTGCTCATTGGAGCCTCCTGGGGCTCTGTTTTGTGAGATGTGCCTCGGGGTCCCTTCCTCCGGCTATTAGAGTGGATGAAGATGGGTCACGGGAAGTGAGAACCCTTCTAGTCTCATCCCTGGTTATCATCATGTGTCATCTGGCTTACCCACATTCACATCTGTGTATCTGCCCTCTCTGCCTCACACAGCTGTGCCCTGTGGATGGAGCGGGTGGGGATCAGTTCATCGTCTGACTGGGCTGAAGGAGGCTGCTTCCTGCTGAGGCCCATCCTCCTGTTCCCCAGGCAGGCAGGGAGACTTCATTAGTGCAAAGTTGGAGCTGAGCTGGGTGGTGTGAGTGGAGGAAAAAACAGCGGATTAGAAGGCTCAGTGCTTTCCCTTGTGAGTCTTCTAACTTGGTTGGGGTTTATGATGAATTATTGATCTCACAGGGCTTCTAAACTGCTGAATCAGGGCTGGAAGCTTCTGCTGTCACAGGCCTCGGGAGTTTTGAGCACAGACCCCCTGCAGATCCCGATTTGCTGTGTGCTCACCAGGCCCATCCTTGGTTATATACTTGGCTGCACTGAGGGGACATGATGGGACTGGTGACACCCGGGTCACAGCCCCTGGATTCACCTGTCAGCTGGCTTTCTGCCCCCACCCATGCCCCAAGCCATAGGCCACACGGTGACCACAGTCCCTGCAGGTGTGTGATGTAAGGATGAAGGCTCCCAGGTACACCTGTGGGCAGCAGGTCTGGGCACCAGTAGACATAGGGCCAGGAGACGGTATTCCCACTAAATGGAGAGCCTGGAGGGGTCCCCGTGAGCCAAGCAAGGTGGACACAGCTGGCTGAGAGCCTGGGGACATGGGGGGTTCCTTCCCTCTTCCTCCTGCTTCTCTGGGCTCTGAGCTGTCTGACTCTGAACGTCTTCAACCTGGATGAGTTCATTCTCACACGAAATGCTGTGAGCCAGTGATGGCTTAGAAGAGTCTTGTAAACCCATCCCTACCTCGATCTATGAAACAGGCTCAGACTTCCATTAGCGACCTTCTAGGGTATTTGAAGGTCAACAGGGGAAAGCCCTTTAACCTCATCCATCCATCCATCCATCCATCCATCCCACAAACATATATTGGGGATGGTCATTCCAGGTGACAGAAGGCGTAGGGCCAGGAGGGGAGGTCTCAGGCCTGGGTGAGGGAGGAGTCTACCCTGTAAGAGGGTAGAAGGGGTGGGCGGTTTTCTTCCGCGTTCCCGTCATCCTACCCACGTCAGGGCCACCGTCATTGTCAGGGTTCCCTCCCCGAGATCTGCAGGAGTGTGATGGGGTCCCTCCCTTCAGCTTGGCTGCCTTATCTGAGTCTGTAGAAAGGCCTGTGACGGGACAAGGCTCACATGCCACGGCACTCACTTCCTCTCCCTGGTTCTCCTCCGGCAGCTCTGTGGCGCCCATGACCCCGAGGGTAGTCCTGGCTACCCACCTCACATCTACGCAGAGGAGGGCGAGTGTGAGCAAGCAGACAGCCTCAGTTCTCTCACCTGCTCTGAACATGACCTACCGTCTGACTTGCTGGCCTCTTTGGGGCCAAAGGCTGCTCCACTAGAAGAAATATATTCTGAGTCAGCTTTTCGTTCCCCCCAAAATGCATATTTTGGTTGATTGGAATAATTCACAAGGGGAAATCACTATTCTAGAATGCTTTTTTTCTTTTGTTTTTAAAGAATTACCTTCTAGTTCTAACAGAATGAGGGTAAATTGAGTCTGGATTAAATGGTTGGACATTCTGGGACACCTTGAACCAAAACAAAACAGCAGGTCATACTTTTTAAAAAATTTGTCAGGCATATTTTCTAGAGAAACTTGAATTTAATTGTGTAATTACTTGCTTCCATGAGCATCCCAACTCTGAGAATAAATGAAATATAATCTACAGATTACCCCAATTATTTGGGAACAACAGGTAATACTGGGAAAACAGATTTTTCAGTGCTTACTTAAATTTCTTTATTATGGTTCTGCTTCAGTTTAAGTGAAAAACAATAGGGTAATATTTTGTAGAATATTTGCACTTAGTATTTTTAGTGATTTTTAAAAATATATTAATCCCACTGCACTTTTTGAGTAGATAAATAGATAAAATTTATTACTATAAGAGAAATCATTAAAACTTAAAACTTTATGAGTGGTAAATATTAAAAAAAACTGACATAATTTAACTTGTATATACTATGTAATTAAAATAACTTAAGAGCCTTTGAGTGACTAAATTCTGATTAAATTCTATTTTTATACAATACCACAAACTTTAATTGATTTTTACATTGTCCACTTACCACTAGTGTAAACTGTGGGGGAGGTGATAGTGTCCTTTATCTAAAAAAAAAAATGTAAATAGTAGGGTATGTGCCCTATATATACTCAGTTTTCTTGGCTGTGTAATAGATAAGAAGCTGGTTAAGAAAAATTTTAAAAGATACCAAGACACTTTAATGTATATATTAGATATCTAAAAGCCTATGGCAAATTCTAAAAAATTTATATAATTAATGAGCATAGTCTTTTGTGCACACCCTCCTGAATTCAAGTCCAACTCTTTGTGATCCTATGAACTGTAACCCACCAGGCTCCTCTGTCCATGGAATTTCCCAGGCAAGAATACTGGCGTGGGTATCCATGACTTCTTCCAGGGGATCTTCCTGACCCAGAGATCAAACCTGTGTCTCGTACAGCTCCAGCACTGGCTGGCAAGTTCTTTATCACTAATGCCACCTGGGAAGCCCCAAGTTTTAGCTGATGCAGAGTTAAAACTTTTCTTTCTAAAGAAGCTGTGGAAATACTAAAAGAGATCACAAGAATTAGTACACAGTTATTTCATGTGTCACCTAGTGCTTTGGGTAACTGAAAAAGAAGAAAACCATCTCCAAAGGATTGGAACGTCTAAAACTGACTCACAGTTGCGTAGAACAGCTGTGCTAATTCTGGAATGATTCTGAGGAGAGTCTACGATATTTTCTGGGGAATTCAGGATAATAGTCCTATCTTAGAACAGTATACTTCTTGAGTCTGAATGGTTGGTGAGCATCAGTAGGAAGTCATTGGACCTTCCTGGATCTGAGGCAAAGGACAGAAAACTATGCCCATGCCCCACCATCTGTTTTTATAAATAAAGCTTTATTGGTATACAGCTGTGCTCATGTGTTATTTAAGGGCCATCCATGACCACTTTGTGCTGCCATAGTAGTGCTGAGTAATCATGATGGAGATATATGGCTCACAAAGCCCAACACATTTACTTCCTGGCCTTTTAAAGAAAACAAGAACGCTGACCCCCTTGTCTAAGGCGTTCTTTTTAGGAACTCCACATCTCATCTAACACTTAAATACATCCATGAAAACTGAAAAGTGAAAGTGTTAGTTGCTCCATCACATCTGACTCTTTGCAACCCTGCCAGGCTCCTCTGTCCATGGAATTCTCCAGGCAAGAATATTGGAATCGGCGGCCATTTCCTTTTCCAGGGGATCTTCCCAACCCAGGGATTGAACCCAGGTCTCCTGCATTGCAAGAAGATTCTTTACCTCCTGAGCCACCAGGGAAGCCCAAATATATCTATACTCTGTGTTAAAATCAAATGCATTGCCATACACCTCTGACAGGTTTTAGATAAGTTTGCTTTTGGCTGTAGGTAACTTGACTCCTTTACTAATGGTTATGAAATCTTGGCAGTTGTGCCTATTAGTGCATTCTTACGAGGCTCTCTCCCACTAATTGTTCTCAAAAGTAATAAAATACTCATGAAAAATTCAAGAATGTGGAATTGAACAATTAGCAAGAACAAAATGTTACATTTTGTAGATATTTAATTAGACATTTATTAATTTTGATTTTGCTGTTTTCTTTGTGTATTCTGAAGCCTGTGTGTATGTGTTTGTAGGTCTTGAGCCTTTGGAGTGTATTGTCCAGTGGAGACAATGGCCCTGTTGGCATGTTTGTGAAGCCCATCTGGAATAATGCTTTGACTTTTCCCTTTAGATTCCAGTCTATATTATATATTATCACCTGCCCCAACTGACGTCTGCAGGGAACATTCTTGAATATTGGCTGGTTCTCCCCACAGATTGATTACCAGGTCTATCTCCATGCTTTAAAAAGCTTTCCATTAGAAACAGCCTCACCAGGAAGTTTTGGGGGAAAAAAAATGTTAACCTCCAGTGGAATTTATGTACACTCGTGAATGAAACCAAGTCTTACTAATGGCAATGAAGAAGGCAATAAAACAGAAATAGTAAATATTTTCTTAGAAAATGTGATATTTTTTTTAAGAACATTAGCCTCCAAATTACTTAGCAATCCAAAGATAGCTGCCGTCTCATAAGTTAAATATTTATTTTGCATTTCATCAATTTTGGGTTTCCATTTCCATTTACAGTCTCATTGGCTTTATGGAGTTTTTCATCAAGGGAGTTTGTTTTTCTTACTTTTCTAATTTACTGAGCACAGAAGCTATCTTGGTTGTTAAAAGTTTTCCAGCTGAAACACTAACCCAGGAAACTTTATCTTATGTCCTTGTTAAGTAGGCATAGCAACAGTCCCCTGAAAGATGGCATGTGGGCAGAAGACGGCAGACCTCATGTGGTTGTTGTCTCCTCTGAAATGTGTGTGTTAGAGGCCAAATAAATCTGCCTCTGCTGTCAGGAGAAGAAGGAGGAGGAGAAAGAATGCTGGCGCTATAAAGACAGAAAAGACTGGTCTTTTCACTTTCCCAGTTTGAGGTCACTGGTACTGGAATGTGACAAGAATATGCGGCTGCAGCATAATTGCTTCAGTATCTGTTACCTCTCCTTCCTCAATAAAAGACCCAGAATGTGTGGCCATCCAGAATGGGAATGACATTTCCCATCCTCCCTTGCAGCCACTGTGGCCATGTGGCTACATTCCAGTCAATGGAAGGCAACTTCCAGGAAGTGTCCTGGAAGGATGGAGATCTCATCTCTTCCCTCTCTACTGGTTGAAATGATATGATGAGACAGGGGCAGCCGCTCTGGACATTGTCATTAGCTGATGCATGGTGCACTGACAAGATAGAAGGGGTGGAGGTCTCTAACATCCCTCCTGGATGGAGCCCTGGAGGGAGGCTCCTGGAGGGAGCCCTACTGGACCCATCCCACGACCATGTTACTCTGGACTCAAATGAAGGAGAATTAAATACATTTTGTTCAAGCCACTGCTGTTTTGGATTTTCTGTCACTCAAGGCCACATGTACTTTTAAGTGTTATAAAATATAGGAGCAGGATAAGCAAGCTGTAAATAGAAGAACTCAAACTTGGGGCATGGGCTTGTAGACGCGTCTGGGGGCAGGGATTCAAGCAGTGGGTCTGGGGGACAGGTGACGCATATCGTGCAGAAACCAAGCATTTACTAACAACTCTCATCTGTTATTTTTTGGAAAGCAGCTCTTGGGCTTCCCTGGTGGCTTAGATGGTAAAGAATCTGCCTGCAGTGCAGGAGAGGGGCTTAATCCCTGGGTCAGGAAGATCCTTTGGAGAAGGGAACAGCAATCCGCTCCAGTATTCTGCCGGGAGAATTCCATGGACAGAGGAGCCTGGCGGGCTACAGTCTATGGGTCACAAAAAGTCAGATATGACCGAGTGACTAACACTTTCACTTTCCTTATTCTGAAAAAGGATTGAGGAAGAAAGTTGTGGGAGAAATTCATACTGTAGAAATGCATTAGAGCAAAGTCCCACAGGAGAGATGGACATGGGCAACTGCTGGCCAGGGCTGGAGTGGCATGAAATGTAGGCAGCTGTGCTAATGGAGACGGTCTCGCCTGCAGCCTGCAATCTAAGTTGACTGAGAGCTGGGTAATTTGGAGCCTTGCAGGGCTGAAGAAGCAACTGCTGTGTCTCTCAAATGACATCAGTCATTGGAATGGTTTTGTGCAAAGCAGTACACTTAGTGGAAAATAAAACAAGTGCCCCGTCCCACCAATCTGTGAGCCTGGGGGCAAGAGTCTCTCTAAGGATGTTGCCTTCCTACCCAGGGCCGTCATTTCAGGTGACTTGAGGTGGGTGGTACCATGTACCAAGGGACAGAAGGTGTCAGCCGAGAGAGAGAGTGAACTTGGAGGCCAACGAGGGAGGTCAGACACTCCAGGGTTATAAACTATGTCTCAACAAAGAAAGCCCACTGGAAACAAATAGATAGCAATCTTTATGTTTTTGAAAAAGTGCTTTGCCTAAGAAACCACAGCCTGGTCTGAAAAAGCCTGTGATTGTTCAACTCTAGAGCAACCCCTGAAAACAAGGAGCAACCTGTGAAAACCACGCAGGTCCCAGGGCCTCTGGGTGGCCATTCCAGCTCAGTGCAGGGGAGGCAGCAGCTGGGACGTAGGTGGGGCCAGGCATGGTGGTGCTGCTAAGGGGCTGCCACTGTTCCTGCTTCCCCGGGTTTGCTCCTGCGTGTGGGTCACTGGTGACGCTGTTCAGTATTTTGCTCTCTTCCAAATGGCCGCATCCTCCTGTTCGTACTCATCAACCTTATGTTCGGTGTGCTGAGACCAGGAACTTATGATCTAGTTTGTAGCTTGTGAAATCATGAAGAACCTCATCCATATCTGTTGGAGGGGATGCTGCTCTGTCTGGGATCCTGGATTGGGAG